AGAAAGCATGTCAAAAATCTCTTTAATGTTTATGGATCTTAAGATCTTTACAAGTTAATCACTGTATTCAGTATCTTTTTTATGTTCAAGATATTTAGCAGAAGTTTTTTTCTTAAATTGAGAAGTTCTGTGTAGATAACGACCATATTTGTTTTTTATTTGTTTGTTTTGTTTTTCAAGACAGGGTTTCTCTGTTTAACAGTCCTAGCTGTCCTAGAACTCACAGAGATTTGCCTTCCCTTTGCCTTCTGAGTGCTGGGATTAAAGAAGTATGCCACCACTGTCTGGCATCCACGTTTTAATCTAATCTTTATTTGGACAAAGCTCTGACAGATTATTTAATTCATACTCAGAATTATAGATATTATGGCAAACTACAAAAAGGAAACACACACACACACACACACAACCGGGGGGTGGGGGTAGATTCTTTTAAATCACAAGGCTCAAAAACCCACAGTTCATAATTGACTCATGGCAGAAAAATCATGTATTTATATAAATAAGCTTCTGTGAAATGGGACAGAGCTATATCACATGAAAACAGAATGGAAAAACACACCTCCTGGGCTTCAATGAACAATATAATTTCATTACCATTTAATTATAGCATGTTTTACCTAGTGCTGGAAGAACTTGGAAAAATGAATTTTAGAAAACATCTCTTAAAATTAAAAGAATGTTTCTGAAGAAAAAGGAACAGAACACAAGGTGGTGAGCAAGGGAGGGAGAGCCACAAGGTCTTGAGGGAGGGGGGTATTAAAGCCTCTGGAGCTACAGAACAAACTAAGCTTCCTCTACCAAACGGACATGGCACGTTGCTCCTCACTTACACATAAAGCCAATTGCAAACAAACAATGGAGGACAGGGTCTGCTCGTTTCTACCTCGGAGGTCCTGACGCTTTTTTTTTCCTTAAGTCAGTCAGATTCATGAAAATTCAATTTGGTGAACTGGAGTTCCAATTTCCTGTCACTTTGCAGAAGTCTAATATAAAACAGACCCTATAATCTACATGGCAAAAAAGAACCCTCAAATGAGGAAGTCGTCTCATTATAAAATAAGTTGTGTTCTGTCCTATTAGCTGCTTCCACGTGTCCATCTTTTCTAGCAGGAACAGCCTAGCTCTCTTACCTAATGTCCCATGTTCAGATGGCATTGATCAATTCAGACACACCTTGGTCACACAGGCAGTGGGGGATGATTAAAGTTGTGTGGCTACTCTTCTTCCTCTAGCTTGTGTTAGCATTTGCAAGAATAATAGGGAAAGTGTTAGAAATCCATGGCGCTCTTCTGCAGCCCTACTAATGGCTGGGTAGAGAAAGACATTCAAACAAGTGGATGGATTTGGTTTGAGGAGCCCCACAATCACAGGTAACAAACTATAGATGATGACAACAGTGCCATTATGAACAGTGTCAACAAACAGGGAAATGAACTGGCTTTCATAACAGAAGGATGCTATTGTGGATGCAGTCATGGTCAAGAGCCTCCACACTGTAAAACTGTGCTGAGAGAATGGTAGGGCAAACAGTGAAGAAGGGACTTAATGGAAAGCTGCCTAAGAGAACATTAACAACAGCTCCCAGAAGACCCAGCAGCCAGGAGTGTTTCTATCTCCAATCTACCAGTATGATTAGAACAAGAGTCATCCTCCCCTCACACTGAAAGTCAGAAGATAAGGAAGTGTGCAGCTGCCTGCTGTGGACTGATGATCTCAGGAGATGGTGATATTACTAAGGACTTGGTGGCCCTATACCAAAAGGCAGGTCAGAAAGTAAATGCTCCCGTATTTTAGTTAATTCCAGTGGGTAATACAGTCAGTTCTACCTAAGCGATATTATCAACGATCTACTATCGGTCAAACTTTTGTGTAATCAATCAAAAAAAAAAAAAAACAGACAAGAAAAAGGACAAGGACTTCCTCCTCCCTTCGCCAGGTAGATCACTACCTGGGAGGGTGCTTAAACTCTGGGAAGAGTATGCTTTGACAGGCAAGAAGCATGAATTTTGATCATAAATGTCCTAGGTGGAGAGATGCCCAAGCAGAAGAACAAAAGCAAGACAAGAGATGAGCAGACAAAACTTCTGAAGCGGAAAGCGAGAGTGGGAGGAACAAACGCGAAGCCAAACGAGAGCCACAAAGCATTAGTGTTAGCAGGCTGGGCTCCTTTGCTGGCAGTGCTATGGCAAGTCTAGTTAGTAAGAGCTGTGGGGAGCTGTGATTCACCCAACCCTACATGGAAGTACAGACGACTTCTCCACACGGTAGGAGAAAACCAACTGCTACCAGTTGTCTTCTGACCTACACACAGACACACAACACACACACACACACACACACACACACACAGAGAGACACACACACACACAGAGACACACACACACGCACGCATGCGCACACTCACACACACAGAAACACACATACACACACACACAGACACACACACGCACTCACTCTCACACACACACACACACACACTGAATAAACAAATAAATACAGTTTTCATAGCTAAGTATGGGGAAAAAGATTGTTAGGAAACAGGGAAACAATTTGCTAAATAGAAGACTTCAGTATGTAAATGAGGCTTATGTTCAAATCCCTGTGTGATTTTTGGAGAAGTCTATCTCTTCCAATTTTACATTGTTTTACATTAGCTAAATGGGTACAACCACACCTCTTATAGCCTCTATGCCATGTGCTCTATTTGCCTTGTTATTTTTAAAAGACTGACTCAAATTCTTAATTCTATGCCTCAGGGAAACCATGTTTTCCTAAATTTGAGTGAACTTTCAGGAAGGTTCTCTCTCATATTCTTACCAGACTTTGGTCTCCTGTATTCCCAGAAGACTTCTGCCAGGTAGAAGTAATTCCAGACACCAAATTGTCCTTTTACAAGTGTCCCCCAGAGTAGTGCCAACCCAGCATGGCCACAGTTTTGACCATCTGAGCTTTCTGGTTATCACTTGGGGACTTGCGATGAAAAACATTATAATAATTCACTCACTTCCTGTCCCTTTTATCTTTCCTCACCCTTCCTCTCCTGAACCAGCTCTGGGATTTCTATCTTCTAAGCAGCCATGGTGTTTCCCCTTCTTCTCAAGCCTGAGCAAAGACTGATGACCAAGCCTAGGACAAGGATTGACTCTCGGCCCTGAACACCCATCCAAGTGTATCCTGAATAAAAACAACCCTCTCAGACACTCACAATTAAAGTTCTAACATTTTCTCCATTTCCTCAACATGACTTTGCAGAATTTCTATGCAGGGTAAATGCAGCACTAGAATAACGTGCTAGCACAATGCTCAATGATCTTTTCAAAGCAGATACCAAGTAACTAGAAAGTGCCACATAGTGGTAAACATAGCTACATTTAGTCCCTGAAGAAAGCATCCTATGTGAATCTGGAAGACCAACCGCTTCTAGAGGAGTACAGTGGACGCTGACTAGCCAAAGTAATTGATGACATGCAACTAAAAGCTAAGATCTCAATCTTTCTCTAAAGATATAGTAAACATGCCAGGATATTACTTACGAAGCAGAGACAGGTAGAGCTCTATGAATTAGAGGCCAACCTGGCCTACTTAGGGAGTTCTAGGCCAGAGAGGATTTCACAGTGAGACCCTGTCTCAAAAACCAAAACACACACACACACACACACACACACACACACACACACGAAACTATATATATATATATATGACTGATAACAGGGTCCTTTGATTTATCTGTCCTTTCCCAAACACCAAGTCACTATAAAAGTCTCTAATGATGATGTCAATTCACAAAAGAAATAATTTTAAACAAGCAAACAAAAAACAGTCTGGCAATCTTCCTGCCTCAACCTGTCAAGCACTGGGATTCCGTGCTCAGTGACAGATGAATTCTGAGACACTGCTTCCACCAGTTCTCTTGAAACTGTCATCTAGAATTCTAAACTTCCTTCTATTTAGATGAAGAGTGTGATAGGTTGAATGTAATTGGCCTCCATAATCTCATAGGGAGTGGCACTATTAGGTGGTGTAGCTTTGTTGGAGTTAGTATGGCCTTGCTGGAGGAAGTGTGTCACTGTGGGGCAGGCTTTGAGGTTTTCTATGCTCAGGAGACTGCGCAGTGTCTCAGTCGACTTCCTGTTGCCTGCAAGATATAGGGCTCTCAGCTACATCTGCCTGCATGTTACCATGCTCCTTGGAATGATGCTAATGGACTGAACCTCTGAAACTGTAAGCAAATCACCCCAATTCAATGTTTTCTTTATGAGTTGCTTCAGTCATGACCCTAAGACAAAGGCTTTCAGTTTTGTTTGTTCTTTTGAGACAGGGTTTCTCTGTGTAGTCCTGGCTGTTCTGGAACTTGCTCTGTAGACCAGGCTGGCCTGCAACTTAAGAGATCCACCTGCCTCTGCTTCCAGAGTTCTGGGATTCAAGGTGTGAGTGACCAGGCCTAACTTAGATGAAGTCTTACAACTCAAAGGCTCTTTTCCTAGATAATAACACTTAACAGAACAAACACCTCTTCCTCTGTCTCAAACCTAGAACACACAGCTTCTGTCTACAGGTTATTATGACCACAAAGCTGGTCTCTGTCAGGAAATGATCATGAACTTGGCCTTTTGTGCTCCTGCCAATGGATCTGACCTGGGACAAGAATTGTTATCTCAGAAGACAAGATGGGATCAATCTCATTCACAGGACACCAAAGAACTTTAAGGTGGAAATAAAGGTTCCATAGTTCTGATCCAAAACTTCTGCAATATGGAGCCCAGCACCACGTTTCATCTTTGCTTGGGCAAATCTTCACTGTGCTGACACACCAACCCCCGACCATACTGAGTTCATAATGCCAGCTCAGTAAACCATGGCAAGCAGCACAGACCCGCAAGTAAAGACGAATGTTGTGAAAGCATTGCAAAGGAACACCACAGCTCCTTAATCCAGACTTTACATCAGCTAGGCTAACCACTTTCTCTTGAACACCGAGTGAGTGGCATGCCACTTACCCTCCTCAAAGCTGGCAATCTTCTGCCTCACTAGAACACGGAAGTTTTCAACAGGATTCACACTTCCAACCTAGGACAGAACCAGAGATAAAACATCTTCAGGTCACTTCTCCTTTTTGGCAATATCCCACACCTTAGTTTCATTTCAGTTGCTATGATAAAACATCCTGACAAGAACAACTTCCAGGAGAAAGTGTTGAGTTTACTCACAGTTTCAGGTTACATTCAGTCACAGCAGGGAAGTCACAGGGGAAGAAGCCTGAGGGAATCTGGTCATAGCATATCCATAACCAGGAAAAGAGAGCAATGAATGCATGCATGGTAGTGCTCAGCTGACTTTCTCCAGTCTATGAAGTTCAAAATCCCCTTGCTAGGGAATGGTGCCACCTGCAGTGTGCAGGTCTTCCCACCTCGATTAGTGTAAGCGGGATATTTCCCCATAGACGTGCCCACAGGATAACCTCAACTGGACAATTTCACTGTGACTCAACTCCCAGATGAGTCTTGATTATGTCAAGTCAATGTTAAAACTAACCATCACACCGCAGGCAAGACAGATGGCTTAATGTAGTAAGTGTGCTCTTAAAAACAACAACAAATCATTATGTGTTCCAGGATTCTATAAAAGCTAGAAGATTCAGGGGTGAGCAAGATGGTTCATCAGATACTTTGCTGCCAAGCTTGATGTCCTGAATTAAAACCCCAGAAGCCACATAATAGAAAGAGAAAACCAACTCCTGCAAGTTGTCTTATTTCTGTATGTACACTGTGACAAGCGTGTGTGTGTGTGTGTGTGTGTGTGTGTGTGTGTATCCAAATGTATACACATACAAAAAAAGTCAATGTGTTTTGTTTTGTTTTGTTTTTCAAGACAGGGTTTCTCTGTGGCTTTGGAGGCTAGTTTGGAACTAGCTCTTGTAGATCAGGCTGGTCTTGAACTCACAGAGATCCGCCTGCCTCTGCCTCCCAAGTGCTGGGATTAAAGGCGTGCACTACCACAGCCTGGCCAAAAGTCAATGTTTAAAAGAAACTAAAAAGTTCAAGCAGTCACACAGTTGCCCTGTCTATTTTTACTTTACTTTCTTTATTCAAGGTGACTTATCTCCAGAAAGGCCACAAGTATTATAATCCATGCCACTTGTCAGCCCAAATCGAAGGCTTTATGTGCTAAAGACCACCTGTAAGTTCTGATAATCAATTAGGAAAGGGAGGGTGTTGTCATGCTAAACAACTTTCCCATTATGATGACAACCAAATGCTTGATTCACTGAACTACTGGGGTGGGGAGCTATTACTGGCCCTTAGATATTGAAGTTTTGATAGAATACACAAACATGCCCATACTGAGCATATCCTTTTAAAAAATTACATCATATATACAGAGTATTGCAGTGCAACTCTCTCTCTCACACTGTACAATACTTTCTGATCACACCTGCACTAATCTCAACCCTAACAAGGTCTCTGTAACATTCAGCTCTGAGAGGAGAAAACAAAGGGATTCCTGAGAGTGCTGGCAAACATTACATGAAAATCTATTATTTCCACTTTGCTTGGAATAGTGTTCTGGAAAGTGCTCAGAGAATGAAATCATGACTTCTCAATACCACTCAAGATTCCCACGAAGTCCAAACCACTGCTCAGACATTTGATTTTTCTGGCACATTTCTGTTTGACTTTGATAACTGTGGAAATGCTAAGATCTGTTGATTCAAAGCAATGCTGTATACATGAAGGCAATACACCCTAAGTCCCAAAAACCTTCTCAACAAATAAAGCTTTCAGTATCAAAAGGAACTTGATTCAGTATCAAAAGGAACTTGATTTGGTCAGTCCTAACCTTGCAAATTCTATTTTGAAGGTTTTTTGGTTGGTTTGTTAGTTTGTTTTTGCAGGTTTTTGTTAGATTTATTTTTATTATTTTTAAATTACACGTGTATATCTGTTTGTGGGTTTGTGCAGGTGCCGGTGAAGACCAGGTGTTGGATTCCCTGGAACTGGAGGTACAGGGGGTTGTGAGCCACCCAGTGTGGGTGCTGGGAACAGAATGCGGCTGCTGTCAACCATCAGAGCCACCTCTCCAGCCTCTAAAGTTTTACATTAGGAAAAAGATAGAAATGGTATACCTACTTCAACTTTATGCATTTGGGGAATAAGACTCGGATCATTAACCATTCCCTACTTACTCCCATCATCTTTACTAAATGGAAAACTGAAAAAGGAAGCCAGTAAGAAAATCTGTACAAGAGTGCTACCACTGAGACACTCTGTGTTCTACATCTTATTCCGAGCACTATTTACTACAATCAGACAGGTAGTTCTATATAAGAAAGAAGGACATGGGGTGGGTTTATATAGTTCAAATACAGAGAGGACCAGAGAAAGTGGTATGTCAGCAGACTCCTCAAGTCTAAGTCTTGGCCTTGCTGCAGTGGGAGAGAGACACTGGAAAAGGTGTTTACCTTGGTGACATTCCCTTCAGCCAGGCTAGAGATACTGATGTGACTCTCTTCTTTCTCCATCTTACACTTTTTGGCAGCAGGCCCCTCTTCATCACTAGAAAGGAAAGAAACAGGTAACTTTTCCCCCTTATAACAAAATAAAACAAACAAAAATACAACACCAAAGACATTTTACATGAAAAATATAAAGTTATTTTCCAAACATAACAGTTAGACAGTCTATCCAAGTAGCAGACCTCCTTCTCTCAGCCCTGCGGCCCTGACAGGAGGCCTTGGAGTCGTGTGGGCTTTGTTTCACAACAGTACAGGAGGTAGCAGTAGCTGCTACATAACTGGGTACATGCAAAAGATGAAGTGGTAAGCACAGGTAATGGGAGCTGAACATTACCTAAGAAATCCATCTGCCCATCAACTAACCTCCCAGACTCCATTTCAGAATCCAGAGCCACAGATTTTTGTGTACATAGAACTTTGTGTCTTGAAAACCCTCCTTCCCCATTGTACTAATCTATGTAAGATCTCTATAAGCTTCTAATTAAAAGTGTCAAATTTTTAAACAATCACAAGTTAAATATGCAAAAACGTTTTTTAAGTCTTAATTTTTTTTAAGCACACTTTTTAATTTGCTTTCTACACCCCTGATTCTGTTTGGACACGTTACTATCAAAGTCTAACAGTATTGGTGTGCCAAGGAAAGACAGCTCCAAGAAAGGCTATCAAACATCTGCCTCGAGTAATATACTGGCCTTAATAACATGCTGGTTTCAAAGTCATGAGGATGCTAAGGTAATCATAGGAGAAAAAGAAATCCAATCCAAAACCCATCATCTCCCCGACACAATGAAACACAAAGAAATGAAGAATTTTCTCCTGGAGAAAAGATAGTAAGTGTAGGCTAAGGGCAGCCATCAAGAAACAACTGAAATTAGTTAATTAATAAGTCTGCAACTACGTTCTAGTTAGGGCTGGACAGATGGCTCAGTAGTAGTAAATGCAAGTCAGTAAAGTACCTTGCAAGCAGATGGACCTGAGTTTAATTCCCAGAACCCACAGTGTGTGTGAGCGTGTGTGTGTGTGAGTGTGAGCACATGTGTGAGTGTGAGCACGTGTGTGCATGTGTGTGAGCACGTGTGTGTGTGAGTGTGAGCACGTGTGTGTGAGCGCGCGTGTGTGCGTTTGTGTGTGAGCACGTGTGTGTGAGCGTGTGTGTGCGTGCGCGTGTGTGTGCGCACGTGTGTGTGTGTGAGTGTGAGCACGTGTGTGAGTGTGAGCACGTGTGTGGGCGTGTGTGTGCGCGTGTGCGTTTGTGTGATGGTGGTGTGCTGCAGTTCTAGTGTCTGGGAGGCAGAGATAGGTGGAACCTTGGGAACGGCTAGCCAGTCAGCTTAACCTACTTGGTGACTTCCAGGCTGGTGAGAGATCGTGTCTCAGGAAAAATTTTTAAATGTGGATGTTGCCAGAGAAATGACACCCACTGTTGTCCTCTGGCCTCTACACATTCGCGTGCATAAACACATAAACATGCATACATATGTACACATATACATATACACCAATAAATTTGTTTTAATTGACAAACTATGTATGCCAAAAATAACGATTTTTAAAATAAGCAAACAATATTGTGGTATGACTAACTGGAGCTAATGAATACCCAGATTACTTCACCTCACTCTTTTTCCTCTTTAATTGTAGTGGGAACAGTTAAGGTCTCTCTCTGGGCTTCCTCTCCTTTGCTGAGGTTGGGCGGTGTGGGTAGTCTGGGAACCAAACTCATAGTCTCGTGGATGCCAGGCACCATTCCCTATTAAAGATTTCTAATGCTATTATTTATTTCAACATGCATTGGCTTTTTGCTCAAATACCCACCTTCAGACAATGAGTCTTAAAAGTGGGGAGAAAATTAAAAAGGCAGAAACTGGATCAATACAGAGCCTCCTCTTACAGGGACACACAGAATAACAAACACAGTCATAAACTGTGTGACCTAGATCTTTCTCTTCACTGACATTTTCCCTTTGAGGAGCAGAGAGGTGAGAAGACAAGAGGACAAGGGCCAGGCAGTGTAAGAGGTGAAGTCACCAAGCCCCTTCCCTTTCAACAAGTGTAAAAGCGCATAACGGCCCACGGCAGACGTGGGAGAGGAGGACACAGACCCGAGAAGACTAACAAGGCACAGCCAGCCACTGCAGCTGGCCTTCGCCAGTTCTTCCAGAGACAAGAGCAGAGCACAGGTGACAAACTGGGGACAAAATATACTCCGCCTTAGTGTTTTATAGATTTTTTATTTGAAATTTTAACATTATTATTATTATTAGTGTGTGTGTACAGACATCCACATACTACAGCCTACATGTAGAGGTCAGAGGACAGCGTGGGGCAGCTGGTTCTCTCTGCACTGTGAATTCTAGGAATTTAACAGACGTCACCAGGCTCGCACACAAGGGCTTTTGTCTGCTAAGCCATCTTGCCGGCCCCAGCCTCAGCCTCTCACATCTTCTCGATGCACTCATATGATTTGATTCTAGATGTTATCTAGATTCTAGAGTTTACTAAGTTACCACTTGGCTGAGCTTTAGTTTGCTCCTAAGGAAAGCACTGCAACGGAAAGTACCTTTAATATATTAACTTTTCTCTTCCCAAAATATGAATTAACATATATTATATTAAGAAGCATCATTGAGATGGCTTAGTGGTTAAGAGCATTTACTGTTCTTGCAAAGACACAGGTTTGATTCCCAGTACCCATATGTCTGTAATTCTAGTTCCAGGGAATCTGACACCTTCCTCTGGCCTCCACAGACACCAGAAACACACATGGTACATGTGCATACATGTAGGAAAACACTCAAAGGGATGAATCGATGGATGAATTAATTAATTAATGCATGAACAAATAAATAAATAAAGCAAATATGGACCTGCCTAAGGAAAACACATCATGTCTGGATCCCTGAGCCCATTTCTGCATCAGACCAATGCCTCTCTCCACCCCTTCTATGCCTCTGTTTGCAGTACATGGTGATTAACAGAGCCACAACTGGCCAAGGAGTAGAGAATAAGACTACAAGATGCTCAGCTCTATAGGGAACGTATATATATGCCCCTACCCCAAGGCTCAGGGAGCATCGGGGAAGAGGCAGCAGAAAAAAATGTAAGAGCCAGAGGTGGTTCATGACCATAAGGCAACATCTGCTGGAAACAGCAGAGCAGCTGCAAAGCTTAAACTGCTCATCAATGGCCACTGATGTAATCAGTCTTACCTGTGCAATGAAACTTTCAAAAGATCTCAAAGGGGGACTGGAGAGATGGCTCTGCAGTTAAGAGCACTGGCTGCTCATCCAGACGATGGACGTTCAGTCCCCAGCACCCACATGGGGCTCACAATTGTCTGCAACTCTAGTTCTGGGGGTCCAATGCCTTCTTCTGCTGTCTGTGGCACTGCATGAACATGGTACACAGACACATATGCAGGCAAAACACCCACATACATAAATTAATTCTTTTTTATTTTAAAAAATCAAAATGGCGGGGATCAGACAGCTTCTGAACAGTTGAACATATGAAGGGTCCTAGGTCATTGGTCATAGTTCCTAGAAGGCTTGGAAGCATGGAGACCTTCCGAAATGCCTTACTCTATACATCTCTTCCTCTCTATTGTTCACAACATCTCTTACAATAAACCAGGAAACGCTGAATAAGAAACATAAACTTGGTGAAGGCTCAGAGTATTTAGAAAGGTGAGAGACTACAAAGTAGGAAATCGTCTGTCTCAGTAAGGCAGGATGAAACAGAAGGCACCAGGTACACACAGGCAATGCTGATGTGAATTGCTATTAAGAGCTAAAAGGCCAGTCACTAAGCCAAGCACAGTTAAATGATCTCAGTTAAACTGTGCAACAGCCCTCAGAATTATCTACTGTCATTGTCTTCGAGAGGTAAGCAAATGAAGACTCATCAAATGCAGGTATCTGTTTTACACACCATAGCTCAACCTGCCAATTCCAAATGCCAGTAAGGGGAAATGCTTGGATTTAGATTCAAATCTATCTGACTCCAAAAATCAATGCCATTAGCCACTATACTAATCTGAATTGAAAGGAACAGATTTGGGATAAATGTAATACCGCTTGGTAAACCAATCAGACATGGAAAGTTAAAGAAGGGGATGACTCCCAAGAAATCAGGTGCTGTTCTCTGAAATGGAAAATAACAGCATGGAGAGGCATTGGAAAGACGCATGCTAGGAGAAAACAATGGAGCCACTTCTGCATGCACTGAACTGGAGATAAATATAGACACTGAGCCACCCATGGACAGGATGCAAACAGACTTCATGGTTTCTGAATGGTGTGGGACCTGCGCTGTGAGGGCAAAATGGTATTGTGGCTGAGAATCTGAGCACTGGATTCAGACTGCACACTTACATATTAATCCTTCCTCCAAGCCTTACCAACTGAGATCTCAGGCAAGTTGTTCCTTTTCTCAGACTTAAGATGACATCAACAAAGCAACCGACTTCATAGGATGGCCAAAGGGTCTAAGCAGACAATGCAAGGAAGGCACCTCACATCATGCAGTGTTCAGTAAATGCAGCTGTTCTGAGGGAAAGATTATATACACTGCACATGTAAGGTTGGCAGAGAAAAAACATCAGAGGAGTCTGGCAAGGTTTTCAAAGATTAGGAAGAAAAGTCTGGAAGCTTAAGGGACATACACAAGTTTCAAGAGAGAAGAACAATTGACAGTGTCAAAGACTATAAACAGAGAGTCACTAAAGGGAAGGACTACAAGGCTAAGGAATTTAAGAGGTTCTGTCTTTTAGGTCTTCAGAGAGGCAGAGGAGGCAGAGGAGAATGAGCTAAGAAAGGCAGTGGTGTAGACTATTCTTCCAGTAGGCCTAGCCTGTAAAGGAAAGGCGTGATGAGATTAGTGATTAGTAACAAGTGGCATTAGTGGGAGGAACCTGGAGAGGGTATTTTGTTTAGATGAAAGGAATGTTAGCAGGAAGAAGATGGGAGACAGAGGAAAGAAGGCATTATTAGTGGGCCAGGGTAACAGATACAACAACAGATTGAGCTCAGGCTACAGGGATGGTGAAGGGTAAAGGATGCAGTGTCCTCTGTCCACTGGGCCTGGAGAGAAGGAAGTAAAGGTGACTGTAAAGTAGACATGTTCAGAAATTAGATAGTCTATAAGATTCAGAGGTACCCACCGATAGCCACTACTTTCTCTTTGAAATCATCACTACCATCATTACTAACGTTGTCACTGGCAATGTGTTAGGGGTATGATGAGGGTCTTTAGAAGACTGCTTAGTGACACACTGTTCTAAGATATATGATGTGTACTGTGTTAGGTTCTAGGTAAATAGCATGAATTATCTAATTAGTCCTCATAGCAACCCTATGAGACAGGTATTCCTGCCACCCCTATTTCACTCATGAGGAAACAGAATAAGCAACTTCTACCTAGAGTCACACAGAACAGGGGATCTAACTCATGCCGGTTGACTCTGGAGTCTCAAGTCTTGAACATTAGTCAGATGAAGCTGAGGGTAAATGGGTAGCAAAGCCTCAGGGAACTTGAAAAGAACAGCAGAGTCCGAAAGAAAGCAAGGTCAAATGAGTGTCACATAGGCAGGGCTGGACTTGAGATATCCCAGCCGTCCTGCAACACCTGCCCAAGAGACGATTCTTTCACTTGTACCACCATTGAGGGAAGCCATGCTCTCAGACAATGCAGGCAACATGTAGTTTACTGTGGGACTCCATGCAGAGGCCACCAGGTCTCCCTTTACAAATAAAGACATCACCCCCATAAGCTCTAGGTAACCAATAGGTTGAAGAGGAACAGCAACTTCTCAGATGCCCCAATAGTTCAGAGTGCTTTACCACCGGATTTTGTTGCTATGGTATCTCTTGAAATGAGACTGGGACAGAGGACCACTCTGTAGAACTGGTTTTCTACGTCTACCTTCAGGTAGCCAGGCTTGCAAAGCAAGAATCTTTATTCACTGTACCGTCTTGGCTGCCCAAGACTGTATTTAAAGGAAGAAATTCTCATAAAGATAAAATTATTTAACTAAAATCCTATCAAATGACATCACTGGTACAAAAACTAGTGACTCCTAGAGTAAGACTCTTTTTTTCTTTACTATGAAATTTCCTCAGTAGACATCTATCACTCGCAAATATTAGTTCCTTACCTGTCTACAGGAAACAGGTAAACTGGATTCAAGGATGATGAATAAATACAAAAGCACAGCTTAGTACCAGCAATTTGTTTTCCCTCTTAGCATAACCTCTAAGGCTAACTGGAGCCTTTTCATTAAAATGGAGAGTTTTATAATCCGTGTGAAAGAGACTGAATCATCCTTGAATAGGAGGCACTAAGTAGATATATGCTTAATTCATTGCTTCTACAGTTCTTAGAAACTAAGGCAGGCTTCTGAGAATAAAAGGCGGAGAGTAGGAATGTGTGCAAGCGTGCATGCGTGAGCCACTTCCCTGGTCTGTGTTGCACACTACCACAGGAGCAAAGAACAAGAAACTGTGCACGTCCAAGCTTCCAGGGCCATGAGTGATAGGACCACAGCTGAAGGTGTAATCACTGCAGGGATCATATCACAGCACAACTGCCTTCTGGGTCTCTGTGGTTTGTTTTTTAACCAGCTAATTTACATTTTAATCAAAGGAAGAGAAGAAAATGGTCCATTTCTTTCCCACAGTACCAGAAGGTAATCAAGATCCTGGACTGGAGTTTAATGCCAGAAGAGAATAGCCCTGTGATTGCAGTGAGACAAGAGCAAGGAGCCACAGGAAGAAGGACACAGGCTTCATTGAGCTGCTATGAATTGGCTCAGTGGCATACAGGCAGAGAAAGATTGAGGTGAAGTGGGTTTTTTTAGGGACAGGCTTCCTGTGTAGAAGGCAGGATAGAATAAAAGGGCCATAAACCTCTCCAGGGTGTGATGGGAGTTCATGTAACAGAATCAATCCAGTTGTTTTCTTTTCTTCCAATTCTGACAAAGCTTGGGCTGTTTACCTCTGGGAAGCTATGAAAAATGCAAAGCCTTCTATTCCACTTGTCCAATAATTCACCAAACATTGATTTATAGAAACCAATGAAAGTTTCTGGGAATTACTCATCCTTTTCCACTGGGTATTTATAAATAGTAAGCCTTACTTTGTCAATGGAGACACTGCTGTGGGAAGGAAATAAAAGAAAACGGGGGTGGGGGTGAATCATGGTCTGATGTCAAATCTCAAAATGCAGCAGAAAGAAATATTATTTTGACTTGAGAAAAAAATCACCAACAGCCAGTTGAGTGACGTCTGGAAAGTCAATGCTACAAACCCAGAGGATTCTATATAATGAACAATTTCTTCTGGCTTACTGGTATTTATATGGAAACTAATATAGATTCTGAACAAAATGTGATGAAACACACTCATCAGCCATTTGCAAGCTTGGTTGATGCATAATATGAAATGCATTTCACTCCTTAACTAGCAAATACCGCCCTAGCGCCACAATCAATGTGTCAGTGGCACACTAGCAGAACAGCCAAAGGGCTGTGGTTTTCATTGTCCTCCTCATGTTCCCTCCAAAAGTCTCACTGACACCTAACTACCCGCCACAGACACATCGTTATGCCCTGCCTGCTCTTTTCATCCTCGGCTCTTTGTTTTAGAAAGGGGACAATTCAGGACCAGCAGGATGGCCTGCAGCCAAGCCAGACAGCTTGAATTTGATCCTGGGACCCATCCAAAAGTTGCTCTCTAACCTCCACACACACATACATGTACACTCGTGCACGCACACGCACATGCATATACACACACACACACAAATAAAAGAAATAAAACTATAATAAAAATTGTTTTAAAAGAGGAAAATTCAGCTTTGGTATTCACAAATCTTATTTATAATTCACAAAAACTTTATTGTTGATGCAAAAGCCAACCCAAACCAGAAGGTTGAGCCCAGGTGAACATCAAGGATAAACAATGACTCTAATGGACAGGTATGAGAACTTAATATTTCCACGCAAGGCTTAAAAAGCTGCGCTGTCCCCCTCTATGATACCTGGGCAGCACCATAATTCCAGACTTGTCCCTGCCCCCTGCATTGCTAAAAATATCAAAGGTGACCACAGCAAGTACTTACTTGTCTTGGAAAATGTCCTGAGCAGTCACTTGATCCTTTTTCTTGACGGCTTCTGTCAGAGGGAAAAGGGTCCTCACTTTCGAGAGAGGAATCTCACATTTGGCTTTCACCTCAGTGGGGGGATCCAGCATATTCAAAATGTGCTGCTGAATTGGGGGTAGACGCTCCTGGGGATGTAAGACTCTGTGTAGCAGGCCCTGTTGGGAAAGCAGAAAGGCTAGAACACTGATGATGACATCAAACAGATTTCTGTTTTCTGGTTAGCGACCCTCCATCTTTAATTGGAAGGGCTATGAGACTCAGGCCAAACAGAAGACACAAAATAGGATGGCTCAGAGGACACTGGTCACATCTAAACCCTGCTATAAAACCCTGCTATAAAAACAGACTCAAGCACAGGAGTAATACCCTCTGTAAACCTCCTAGAGGGCACTTATCTTATAAACTATTCAGGACACACCAAGCTTCCCTGAGACATAGCTCCCTAACACTCCAAGATTACAGCCTTTCCCTGGTAACCTTTTATTTCTTTTAATCACATGCATGCTCTCTTTCAGTAGGGTTTTAGAGGCCAGCATGTGATGGGTGAGACAGAGGCTAACGAGGAGCCGTCCATTCTGAGCCCGAGGAGAGAATCTGAAAGACATGGCAATACTGAGTTGACACAAGCCACCAGGGACAGCAAAGTGTGAACCTGCCTCCACCCTACTAACACCACCACTCTTGCCTGTTCCTGGCCCAGTCACCTTTAATGGTCTCTCAGTTTCTGCTGTCACTGTTCTCCTAGTGCACTTTAAGTCTGGATGTCCCCAGAGCTCATGTTCTGAAGCTTATTCCCCAGCTGGTAAGTATGCTGGGGAGTGGGGGACTGTGAAACCTTCAGGAGCTGGGATAAGCTGGTGGCAGCGGTCAACCTGCCCACCACAATGAGGACAGCCATTTCTGCCATGTACTGTTGCCACCACCATGGAATGAGATACTCCAGCCTGCCTTCCCAGGTGTGAAAATCCCTGAAATGGAGCCAAAGGATACCTTCCCTCCCTTGTTTCTATTGTCTATCAAGTATTCTGAAGACAGAAAACAGCTAACACAAGCTCCTTCCCACAGTTTGGAAAGTCCTGCATGACACAGGCACTGCCATTTGTCTCCTTATTCACAACCAAGTAAAGATGAGCTCTTCCAAGTTCACTCAAGCCAAGCTCATCTCTGTCTCTGGGTCCTTAGCTCAATACTCCTTCTGTCTCTTCTCCCTATTCCTAGTTCTGGGCAGAGCTGGACCCTTTTCATCATTCAGGTCTTTGCTCAAATATTAATCTCTCAGAAAGCCTTTCCCTGACATTGCATATGAAGCAGCCTCTCCACTTGCAAGCTATTACCTAATCATCTTCTATTTTGTGTTTTTCAAGCATTTAAAATAGTCTCAATTGCTTGGTTCACTTATGTATTATCTAGCCCTTCCCTTGAAAACTTCCCTGAAAACAGTAAAAAAATCCCTTGTTTACTGCTTAACTATAAGCACAGAAAATTTGTTCAACCCATAGCAAGTGTCTAATAGACACTGGCTGAGGACACTCCTTTTTAGGATACTCACTGTTGAAAGGGAGATCAGAAAGGGGCACCAGGAGTGGGGTGAGGACCAAGGGCGAGACAGGCTGTCCACTGTCCAAGGGGGTGAACTGGACACAGGCTACTTTCACTCAGGCATCTGTGCTGCCTTCAGGCCTTGGCAGCACTTGTATCTGACCAAACAGTCAGTACCTAACACAGTGGTTCTCAATCTTCCTAACACTGTGGCCCTTTAATACAGTTCCTCATATTGTGTGGCCCCCAACCATAAAATTACTTTCATTGCTACTTTATAACTGTAATTTTGCTACTGTTATGAATCCTAATTTAAATATCTGATATGTGACCCCTGGGAAAGGGTCAACACAAATGAAGAGGTCGTGATCCCCAGGTTGAGAACAATTGCTTTAACAGCACAAGAAGCCAAGCAACAAGATGCCATTAAGAAAGAAAAATGAAGTGAGAAGCCCGTTGATGTTTCCTCCTATGAGGAAGGCTCTAACTAGCCCATTTTATTTATTATTGCTGTGGGCTGAACCCAGGTCTTGCACATGCCAGGCACATGCTCTGTCACTAAGCTACTGCACCCTATCCCCACTTTAAACAACTTACATATTAATAATTTTGAAGAGAAATTAAAAAAAGGAGATGAGTAGCTCTTGCAATTCAAACTATTTCATATCATAAAGCATATTATTTATTCTCTTCCATGAACTGGTACCCTACAATGAAGAAAATGCAATATGGAAGTTTCAGCCTAAAGAAAAAAAAATTCTGGGGTTGATAGTATCATCAAGGAGTCAGTATCCTGAAAATTCTGGGGAACCCTCAGCTGGGGATTTCACACCAATTTCATCTAGAAAGTCCATGTGCTCCTCCCCCCAGCATCCCTTTCAACACAGCAACAATCCTTCCCTCTCCACAGTACGTTCATTTCTTTTGAGTTCCCCTCCTGCTTTGTGTATTCCTAATACCCAACTCCCTTGAGCTTCTTTGGGCCTTTTCATGAGTTCTCTGTCAGTTCTAGACACTGATCCTTTGTTGGGGTATTGCTGACAAAACTTTTTCACCCACTTTGTGGCTGTCTCTTCACGCCATTAAACTGTTTCCTTTTGTGTGCAAAACCTTTCATGAGGTCTCATTTGTCAACTGTTGGCCTTATTTCCTAATGACTACAGTCCGATTGAGAAAATACTTGTCTACAACTAGAAGTGGTTTCCCTGAGCTCTCTCCAGACAAATGGAACAAGCTAAGCACATGACTCCTCACACGGCCAGGCTTACAGCACTTCTCTGCATCATGCCCTCGTCACATCAGGCTCCTCCCTTCTCTTTTAGATCTCTGTCCAATGTTACCACGTCAGTGGTGTTGTCCATAAGTGGTGCCCTTACAGGAACTCTCCCCTTTTATTTCCATGGTGTTTTCAAACCACTGTTGACCTATGGCTTTAGAGGGAGGCAGACCTCTGTCAGTTCAAACCAGTCTGAGCTACATACTGCGTGCCAGGCCAGACATCTCAAAAAGAAAAAAGGGAGGGACAGAGGGAGGGAGGGAGGGACAGAGAGATGGAGGGAGGGAGGGAGGGAGGGAGGGAGGGAGGGAGGGAGGGAGGAAGGGAGGGAGGGAGGGAGGGACAGAGAGATGGAGGGAGAGACGGAGGGAGGGAGGGAGGGAGGGAGGGAGGGAGGGAGGGAGGGAGGGAGGGAGGGACAGAGAGACGGAGGGAGGGAGGGAGGAAGGGATGGAGGGAGGGAGGGAGGGACAGAGAGATGGAGGGAGAGATGGAGGGAGGGAGGGAGGGAGGGAGGGAGGGAAGGAGGGAGGGAGGGAGGGAAGGGAAAAGAAAAGGAAAGAGAAACATAACTGGCTGACCTTTCCTTTCTCACCTGGAAAAATCTCTGAAATTCAGGATTTGGAATTTTGGAGGTTGGAAACAAGTCTTCAATGGTGTCTTCTTCCTCGCTTTTCTTTACCAAGCTCATAGAATCAATCAGATCATCAATAGCACTCAACTGTGCCTCTTAAAACAATGATAAACAGAGAAGCAAACAGGAAAAAATAGATTATTTCTATTATTCTCCATCAAATCAAAATGCTTTCCATCTTTGGATACAGCAACACTGGCATGTCATACAGTCATATAGCATCTGCTCTGCCAAAAAATGTCCCTAGTTATGAGAGTGCTTGACTTGACCCTTGGTTTTCTCATTTGAGAAAAAAGCTATTAAAAGTAGTTGACCTGGAGGCTGGAGAGGCAGCTCAAAGGTTAAGAGCAAGATTTGAGTTCCAGCACCCACAACTGGCTATAACCCCAGTTCTGGTCAATCTAACACCATCTTCTGCCCTCTGTGGGTACAAGGTATGCAAGATACACAGACATACATGCAAACAAAACACCCCATACACATAAAAAGAAATTGTCAAAAAAAATAGTAGTTGACTTACCAGGCATAGTAACATACACCTTTAATTTCAGCACTCAGGAGGCAGAGGCAGGCAGATCTCTAAAATTCAAAGCCAGCCTGGTCTACACAGCAAGTTACAGACCAACCAGGGCTACAAAGTGAAACCCTGTCTCAAAAACAAACAAACAAAAAAACAATAGCGGCCATCTTGACTCCTTTCCAGCTCTACCATTCAGTGAACCTTTGGCAATGGAGTATCATATCAAAAGCAAAAGAGTTTGTTTCACAAAAGTATCTCTGCCATTAAAAAAACAAAATAACTCCTATGGAGACTTGAACAAAATACTCAGTATCCAATGAGCTAATATTTCTAAAATAGTAATTATCTAAAGAAAAAAAACATTTCAAACAACAAACAACTTCTTAATGAAGGGAAGCTTTCTAAAGACCTTGTGTAACTTTCAACAGAGCCCAGCAGTGTCATAGGAAGACACCGTCAACTAGAATGAGTGCATTCCTTCATAATCTGTTAGTGTCACCTTTTCACTTTGCAAAGCCACTAAGCCCACTACATACACCTGAGAGCATCCCATTCAAGCTCTAAAGTTCCTTGTGGCAGAAACATGACAGTTTCTCTTTGATGTCTCCCCTAATCCCTGGCAAGTGCCCTTCAATAAAAATCTACCAAGTCAGCCGGGCTGTGGCAGTGTACAAAGTGAGTTCCAGGACAGCCAGGACTGTTACACAGAGAAACCATGTCTTGAAAAACCTAAATAAATAAATAAACAGATAAATAAACATCTGCCAAGTCAATACAAATGGCACAGCAAAGCTGTGTGCACGAGAAGCAAGTCTTCTCTGGAAAGGTCTGATTCTCCCACCACATGTGTGTCTTTCGCTCTGCTGGTTCACCGAGGTTCCCAAAGCCATCCAACTAAAGTACTGTTTCTAATGTCAATCACAGAGTGAAGGCAGAAAAGCAAAGCAGTTTCAAACAGTACCTTATGCTTCCATTCTCTGCTCCTTCAATGTCACAAGATGAAAGAGCATATAGATATTTAACATGGTACTGTCTGCCTGCGTCTGAGCCTTCCATAGGCGGTTTCAAGCAACACCACAACCATTGCCACCATAAATGATGAGTGTAAGGTCCACCAGGCAACTCAGGAACTTGCACAAGGGAACAGTCAGTAAGTACCCCTGCTTCACTACCAGCTAATCTCTTGGTAGATCATTCTTGTATTATAAACCCCTTCAAAAACATTAACTTGAGAAAGTTGCCAATAGCTTTAAGAAAAGTCACAGGAAGTAGGCCAGCTGATCAAAAGATGTTCAACTTTTAGATTCAGGCTGATACATATAAGATAACTTTTCAACAAGTTTGGAATGAGGGCTGGGGTACAGCTCAGTGGTTAGAATGACTGCCTAGAATGCATCAGGCCTTCAGTTCAATCCCCAATACTTTCTTAATTAATTAACAAGTAACCAAGAGTAGATACACAATCAACAGCACACAACAACTTCTCTTATATTCAGGTCCACACATGCCTCCACCATGACAGAAAGAGACCTAGCTCTAGAGAAAAGGACACTAGCCCCAGCAACCCATTTTATTTTTTGGTCTTTTTTTTTTTATTGAAAGCACGATTTACTTACTTATTATGTATACAGTGCTCTACCTTCCTGTATGCCAGAAGAGGGCATCAAATATCATTATAGATGGTTATGAGCCACTATGTGGGTGCTGGGGATTGAACTCGGGACCTCTGGAAGAGCAGCCAATGTTCTTAACCACTGAGCCATCTCTCCAGCCCCTTTCTTAGTCTTTTTGATAGCACACTGATCCCAAGGGGCCTAACCCTAAGAACCCATAGGGAGAACCCCATTTGCAAAGTCACCTCACAATTCCCTACCATGACACAGACAATATAGTATGTAACCTGAAGCATCCACCATTGTTTGTTATATTTCTTCAGCTATCTCTCCTAAATCCTGATCATCATTCATGGTTGTTTATTTTTTGGTGGGAGGGGAGTGTGCCGGGGGCAGGGGGGTGTTACACTCTGCCCACAACTACACAAATTGTTAGCTGCCTCGAAGACAGCACTGATAACTATGAAAATCTCTCTGGTACCCTGACATCTGCAGCCAGATGTAACTACTGGAAGCTAGCAAGAAGCCACAATGAGAACTGAACTGTGGCCATGAACTACACAGGAAGAAGAAAGCAGAATACTGCCACTATCGTCCCAGCTACATCAGACTGCATGTAGGACATGGGTGGGTACACTCAGATTCGCTTCGGCCAGCAAGCTGCTCCTCAGATGCATGCCGTCAGTCAGAAGGGAGAGCCAGACAGGTGGGAAGGAACGGTAGGAGAACCGGCTCTCTATCAGAACACCTGCTGAACCATCTTCATCATTATTGTGAGTGTGTGATTAGAATCCAACTACTTCACCCCATGAAGTCCTGGCCCCATCAACAACTGCAGCCAGGTGATTTCCCAAGGACCGTCTGCGTGAAGAGCCATTAGTGAGCTTAATGGAAATAAACTCACCTGTGGGAGTGCATTTCTTATTGTTTTTCAGTGATGAAAACATGTATTGCCGCAAGTCTTCCATGAAAGGCAGCTGCACATAAACTAAACACTAATGAGAAATAAAGGCGATAAAAAGCAGAAACCGTCAAATTAATGGAACTGTATGTAAGTAGTCCCAAATGCTGTGGAAGTGGCAGCAGAAATATTTCAGAACTTAGCCTAAATCTGACACATGTAAGATAAAGTATTTTGACTATCTTCATACTTGCAAACAGTATGCCGGGTACCAGATACAAAAGAGATGTCTCAAGGAAGGCTGCTCGGTAACTGTAAAATACAGGACCAGGCAGAGCAAATCGGAAAAGCCTGGATGGCAGGACAACTGACTGGGAGTTCGTCATCTCTACCTTCTCTTACAGTCCTGCTGCAGTCTGAGGAACTGGGAACGAAGCAGTCTCCACCTGTGTTTCATTTGAGAGCCTCAAACAGACTGAACTTCACACGGCTCACAAAAAACCCACACCCACACCTTTACCCATGGTCCTTATCTGCTGAACCAGAGGTGACTTCTCTTCCCACATGGCTCTGAAAGGGCCCAAAGACGAGCGCTCTCGTGTCACCTTTACTGGTTTAATCTCTCGTGTCACCTTTATTGGTTTAATAAAAAGCCCCTGAAATACTTTGATGAGTCATGTTGTTTTCTCACTGAAAACCTGGCTCGCACACCAGCAATTCCAACATTATCTGGGAGTCTGCAAGAAATTCAGAAATGGGTTCCGACAGAACTAGAATACCAAACATCCCAAAGCAGTGTTTAGAACAAATGGATGGAGGGGAAATGAATAGCCTAGCAGGAGGAAGGCCTGGGGTCAGACAGGATGGATCCCCAGTACTCAAAGAAAGGATCTTTTTTTTTTTTAAAGAAAAGGTGGAAAGTGGGCAGGGGAGGATGAAAAAGGTCTGTAGGTTTTACCTCATAGGAATCCTTAATATAAGGAAAGGCTACACCAACTTGAGGATTAGCTCTTTTGTCATAAGTGTATCGAACAATGGCGACCATGTTTAATTCATCCAAAGCATGAATAAGGGAAGAAAGAGCAACAGCCGCCGCCTGTAAGAAAGATGTGTGTGTCAGCATAGGTTCAGCCTGTGAGAGCTCCACACAAATACAAGCCCTGGACACTCACACGGGATCTCTGCTTTCTTCCTGTTTCAGGCACCCTTTCTAAGGGTGGACAGCTCAGGGGTAGAGCACCTGCTTAACATGTGCAAAACCCTGAGCTGCAGCTCCAGCACCAACAAGCCAACACAACATTGTCTGTTTACACACTTCGGACTCCAATAGTGTACTTAGTGTGCCTCTTTCAGGACTCTATGAACTTTGACCTCCTTTTCTCTGAGTTTAAGCCCACGCTCTATAAACTCAAGACTGCCTTCCTCAACAAAATCTTTGTCTCTCTCGTTGAACGAATTACTACTGTATCTCTCTTTTTTTCTCAACCCTTCCAATTTCCGTCTGCTTAGAACATGATTCTTAGGTTCATTTCAGCTATGCTCTCTACTTTCTTAATGAAACTACCCTGCAGAGTCCATGGCTTCTACCTGCCAAGTCTTGGGTTGGTGGACTCAGCAGAGCTTCTTGCCTGGCCCCTTTCTCCACACTCTGACTCCAGAAGTAACAGGGTCTTCTAATTATTCTGTGTGGGCTACTGCTCCCCAAGCTCTTTTCTTCTTCCAGCTAGTTCTAGTTCTTAAAAGTCTACTTTCAGCCTTTCTTTCTTTTTCTCACTCTAAAATTCAAGTTAGGGGTTATTTCATCTAGTCCAATGAGCAAGAGGCGTTCTTTGAAAGTCTTCTAAGGGGTGGGGAGACATCTCAGTGAGAAGAGTGCTTGTTCTTATTGACTGAGGGTCTAAGGTCGAATCTTGGGCATTGGAGCTTGAATCTCCAGCACCCACGTAAAAATCCAGGCATAGCAGTGTGTGACTGGCAGGCCCAGCCTAGCATCCAGCCTAGCCAAAATGGCAAGTTTCTAGCCTAGCAAAAGACCCTGACTCAATAAGGGAAATAAAAGAAACACACCCAGTGGCTTCTACACATGGGCACACAAATACATACTCTATGATCCAGGCGTAGCCTGCTGGCAGACACCCCATCTTCCCACACTTATTACTACTCTTCTCCTCTTGTATTCCCTACGTCCCCTAACAATACCTTCGGACTCAGCCAAACTATGACCTCAAAGTCCTTGACAATACGTTCCTCCTCCCTCAGCTAGACCTCTGTGCTGTCTCTCAAGCCCATCACTGCCTCTCCTGTCCAGAGGTGGCGGTGCCAGTCCCTTCCACCAACCTTCAACAGTTCTTCTCTAGCCTTGTCAAGCTGATAGGCAGCTGGCCTGGGTCTTGTGCTTTGCTTCTCTGGGGCTTCTGTTCATGTAATTTTCTTCTGGCTACAACCCCACCAGCGTCTTCTAACCCACTTCAGATTTGCCTTCCTCGGTTTCGTCTTCCAAATTCCCAAACACTTTTCCTGTACCACAGTTAACCTATATCAAAGTCCATAAAACCCCTTCATAAAACCCATGGCCTCAGTATCTTGCCATCAAAATTGTCTACAGATTTCAAAAGAGATACATCTCCTTCATTTCAAGGAATACTTATGTTAAGCCTGTTCTTTGCTAGGTTCCAATGTCCTGTCACAGACCTAAGAGGACTCCCTGACTTTACTGAGCAAAGTGGAAATGAAACATGTAGCAAACATGACGTGTATGTTCTAATACTAAGTCCCAGAAAAGAAGACCAGAAAAGCAGAGAGTCTAGGGAAGAGACTATTTCTAATTTGCTGGGAATTTAAATTTGTGTGTCTTTGATGGGACCAATCAGTATATTAAATGTAAAAGATGATGGGTTAATGATTATCTTGAATATTGTAACAATACTAGTACTGCATTTAACTCAACTAAATTCCCATTCCTTTCCTTTCTCCTCTCCTCTATTCTTATACACACAGTGCAAAACAGCACATAAATGTATATTCTCTCTCTCTCTCTCCCCTACACACACACATACACACTTATAAGCAAATAACCAAAGAAAACATTTTAAGGAGTTATCCACAGAACATTTTAATTGAAAAACAATAATATTCACCTACTTTTAACAACCCACACAATACACATAACTGGTACTATCAGAGACTCTATTCCCAAACTTCCAGAGATGGGCATCTGACTACCTCACATGAAAGCAACCCATGTGGAGTTAGCAATCTTGGATGACAGAATATTCATTTGGAGCAAAACTTCCCACCTGTTGGCCCCAGTTCACTTCTGGTATGAAGCACAGATTAATTTCTACTCCAGTGATCATCCTCAAAATGTATGAAGACTGCTATTACATCTGTCATCGCCCTCCTACTCCCCTATCTACCCACACAAGTCTGCTGCATGCAGTTTTTACTGGAAGTTCTCACACAGCCTGCTTTCCCTACTCTCCTACTTAGAAGCTCCAGTTAGAGAATATCAATTTTCGACTACCACATCAAAAACTGACAGACCAAAGAGCCATTAGGAAATGAAGGTACCTTTTCTTTAAAAACTTCAAAGTGACTGTATGATATATAAAAATTCATGAAACAAAGTTGAGCCATATCTGTCACAACCCACAAAACAGAGCAATGGAAGGACTAAGAGAAAGAAGAAACACCCAGGTCACCAATACCTGCCCCAAATTATCTGAAGGAACCAGAGACAGCTTGCCCTACCTTTAGATCTAGCTGTAATTAGTAACTAGCTGCACAACAGCTAACCTTGGGGCTAGCCTTACCTAGGAACTTCCACATGCACCAATCAGGGCTTACTAACTCCCTAGAGCACCAAAGTCCCAATGAAGCATCTTTCATAACTACACAGATTTCCTGGTCCTAATAAAACCCCCAAATCTTCCTCTACTCTTCAAGCACACCAGCTACCAGACCCATGTACATGTGCCCTACTGCAATCCAGTTTCTTATTCCAAACACAGGCTGCTTTATTAGAAACTAGGCCCTACGTTTTCACTTAACTTTGCCAACAGAAATTAGCCACTTATGTGACAAATTTGAATTGCAGTTCACATGCCTCAGCACAGCTCTGTAATGGAATATGTTCTCACTGCACTCCTAACAGTTCTCATGAAGTGATCAGAATTTCCTTTGTGTTAAAGGAAAATAGGCGGGGGGAGGGGGGGGTTGTGGGGGGGGTGTGGGGAGGGTGTTAAATCCACAGCCTAAAAAGTCATAGTTCAACAATACACACACCAGACCAGACTAGCACAATTTCTAAGGCTTGATTCAGGAGAAAACCATGAACTAGAATTCTCAAATGTGAAGTCACCCATGTGTTATAATGAACTCACCCACACCCAGTGAAGAGGAAGCCAAGCATCTTCTTCTACTAATTTTAACTGTTCTCAGACAACAATCACATGACTACCACCTACTAGGCGAGAAGCCAGTCAAGTTCCAGAAGTGGGGAGAAAAAGAAGTCATCAATACCCTACTCCCACCCCAAACGAATCTTCTACATTAAACTCATTATTTTAATGCACATACTTTCGGATTTTGGAAGCCTGCTTACTGTTTTAAACACATTCTGTATTGGGATTTTCCAGCTAAGATCAACACACCAATGAAATACTGGGTGCTGACTTAACATTTCAGGAAGAAAATATGTACAGAGTGAGGTACGAGTGTAGAATGTGAAAGTCATCAGAGTTGTCAGCCAGGAAGGGACCAGTCTGACAACAGAGAATCTCGGGAACATGAGACAGGAGCAAAGAGTCCACAGGTCAGGACCACTCTCCAGGTCCACACACCAGCACTAAACGCTCAATGTTCATAAGACACAAGAGTCAACTGGCCCAATCCTCCTGAACACCTGACATGAAATTCCTACTCCTAAGTCAAACTGTTAGAAGGTTACTATTTGTGCAAGACTATGTCCTTGGGTCTTATGCTCAAGCTAAAACAAACTCATTTGTCATTTCTCCATTTTCAAAGTTAAAGGTTGGTGACTTTCCCACTGCTGTTGAGACTTTTCATGCCATTTAAAACACAAAGGCAGGCCACATATGGTGGTGCACACCTTTAATCCTAGCATCTTGGAGGCAGAGGCAAGCTGATTTCTGAGTTCCAGGTCAGCCAGGTTTACACAGAGAAACTCTGTCTCAAAAAAAAAAAAAAAAAGGGGGGGGCTGGGGGACCGCAACAACCCACTTCCCTAAAATGACAGTTCAATCTTGTAGCACTATCTCAAAGTTCTACACCCAACTCACCTCATCATCTTTTGCTGCAAAGACCTTTAGAACTTGATATCCCATAAAGAATCTCCTGTGGACCTAAAAGAGAGGAAACAGAACTGGTTTTGAAGCAGAACGAGAAATATAAACAGCTGTAAGGTCACCCACTGCTAAAAATGTCTGCTCAAAATGTTCTTACTGGTAAACACCAACAGCGACTAGAAACAATTTAGTACTTGAAACTCAACTCAATGAGCACCTAGTCCATGCCCTGCATTGTTCTGTATGTTGTATACTAAAACAGAGCAGTGAACAGGATATAATCAGCTTCTTCAGAAACCTAGATGGGTGTGGAATTAAATACAATGCTCTATCAGAGTCCGACGTTATATGGTGCCCTAAGACCACGGAACTGGGCTTGCTCATGAGGGTTTCAGGAGAGGTAAGCAAACGCTGACACCTCAGGCAAGACTTGGAAAGTAGGAACAACAAAAAGAAAAATCTAAGGGTTGGAGAGAGCTCAGCAGCTAAAAGCACTTGCGGCTCTTACAAAGGACACCAGGCATATATATACATGATGCACATGCATACAGGCAGGAAAATACTCATACACATAAAAATGAATACATCTTGGAAAATAAAAAGTAAAATAAGGTCTGTACATTAGACCCTGGGCAGACATAACAGTGAATTAGCGATCCAGAGTGACAGATACATAGTGTGTGCTCACTGGGACTGCTTTTAGAGTGCAGAGGCATAGTGCAAGGGGAAAGGGGGAAATTCGAGATTAACAAAGACTGTCTCAAAAAGCCTCTTGGGAACAAAGTCCTCAGGAGCCGTGACAAGCCCTGGATGAGCTGCAGAGAGAACAAAGCACAGAGCCAGTTCTCAGCAGGCTGGAGGCAGGGAAGCCAGTTCAACAAAATGTGCTGCCAGTCCTTGGCCCCTCCTGAAATACAATCAGGGCCACAGAACTCTACCAACACCTGACTAGAAAATGAATGTTAAAATTCCTGAAATCACAGGCCCTGCACCCATCTACCAAGATCAAGCTCTCTGCGGAGCTGCAGCTCATTTAGAAGAAAGTGCCGTGTGCTGTCCTGGGCAGCATTTCTTATCTGCTTTTTCTGGCACTCTTTCCTCTGAAGCTGAGAAACTAGGAGCACTCTGCTGTAACTGCAGCTCACGAACAAGCTTCAGAGGTGTGAGGTCCAAGGAATTCAAATAGCTCTCATTTCCGCTGCCATCTCCCAGAGGAGGCACACAAGAATAACTCTAGAGTTCCACACAGCATATTCATAGAGATTTATTCTCCCTGTTGGAATTTATTCAAGAGTAGCTAATGAAGTGTAGTGAGATATCTGTCACATCACGTTATGCACCTGTGACCATGCCTCAACGGGCGTGGTCAGTGCAATAGGTACGGGCGAGGTGGATATCTCACTACAATTCCCCCTTTAGTCTGAAGAAAAGATTTAGGCTTGATACAAAACTATATACAAAGACAGCAAATGTCAAGTGTGCTCCAGGAGAAGGAAATGTAAGAACACACACACTTCAGACCTATTGTCAGTGAGCAAATGGCAAGAACTACAATAAGGTTGCTGGAGAGATGGCTCAGCACTTAGCGCACACACTGCTCTTGCAAAGTCCCTGAGTTTGCTTCCCTGCATCCCTGTCAGGTGACTCACAACCACCTGTAACTCCAGCTCCAAGGGATCCTCTGGGCTCCACAGGCACCTGCATTCACATGAACACAGCTACACACAGGTGCACACATGTACACGTAATTCAAAATAAACACAAATCCTTTAAAATTTATTTATATTGTATGTGCACTGATGTTTTGCCTACATGTATATCATTGTGAGGGTACCAGGTCCCCTGGAACTGGAGTCACAGTCAGTTGTGAGCTGCCATGTGAGTGCTAGGAAGTGAACCCAGGTCTTCTGCAAGAGCACACTGTGCTCTTAACCACTGAGCCATCTGTCCAGCCACATAAAAACAAATCCTTAAGAAATATCTAATACTGTCTCTTCCTAGTGCACCTAAATAACTTTTTCAAAGAACAGCAAGGAATTTGGAGGGAAACTAGTAGTTAAATTATTATAATTATATACCCAGAACACCTGACAACCTGGTAAGAAAACTGAAAAGCTGCTTGATATTTTTAAGCAAACACACACACACACATACACACACACACACACACACACACACACACACACACACACACACACGGTGTAGCTCAGTGGTAGTTTGCTTGGCTAGCAAACAACCAATCACCATTCACACACAATTCATTCAGAAATGGTATTTTGTCAACACTGAAGACAGTGTGATTTTATTTAAGATAACTGATAATCACTAGTCTACTAAAAGGTGTATATCTGTATTTTGCCATGCCCCATGGAAAACACTATGTTTAACACCTTGTATCTTTTGGTTAGGAGAATACACGAAAGCCGGTATGTACAGTGGGCTCTTCAAAACCGTGCTAGTTCATCTGGTGAGAGCATCACTAAATAATGGCACAGACTTCAGAGTCTCAAAATGCATGTCTACTCCCATTTCACTGTAAGATCTTGGGCTAGTTACATAAAGGGGCTAATCTTCAATTTCCCAATCTAAAAACAATTTTTTAAATGCATACCATAATACATGCCTAACAGGCTAATAATAACTAAACAAGAATTTTTATCAAAAGCTTACATGTTGGAACACTGTAATTATCCAATGAACAGTAGGTATAATTATAATATTTTCATAATACTTGTCTGAGATGGAACTTTGAAACAAAGTTGAGTGTGGGTCTGCATGGCCGCTGGGTAAAAAAATCAAACGGCATGTCTAAACCTGTCAAGACTGCGATTGTGCTATCTCAGGAAACCTGTAAGAGCCTTCTTTCACTTTGGGGAGCAGGAGGAGTGTTCTCTTTGAGATGGACAATCTTTACCCATTTTCTTAAGCCCAGACTTGAATAAAAGAATTTCTTCCTTAAAAAGCAAAATCAATAAAAAAGATTGATTTAGAAGTTAAAAATTGATCTAGAAAGCACTTCAAGTATTTAAAAGTAAAATCTGAAGTTAATAAAAGTAGTTTAAAAAGGAAAGTGTATTTACTTTTTGGTTCTGTTCTCTGTTTTGCTTTGTTATTTAGCTAAAATAGGCCCTTACTTAGTGTTCACAGTTCTGAATTATACTAGAAGGTGTTTAGGGTAGGGCTTGTCTGTCTATCTAGACACAGCAGAGTGGGCAGTTTCAGTCAGATGTGGTGACACACATCTCTAATCCCAGCAACTGGGAGGCAAAAGCAGACAGACCTCTGTGAGCTCCAGGCCAGCCTGGTCTATATAACAAGTTGCCAACCAGTCAGGAATACATTGTGAAACCTGTCTCAAAAAAAAAGGAGAGAAGGACTAGAGAGATGGCTCAGCAGTTAAGAGCACTGATGGCTCTTCCAGAGGACCTAGGTTCAATCCCCAGCACCCACGTGACAACTCATTATCCCTAACTCCAGTTCCAGTGACCTCGCGCCCTCTTCTGGCTTCTGCAGGCACTACATGCTCAAGGTACACAGATGTACACGCAGGGAAATATTCATGCATCTTAAAATAAAAAATAAAAATAGATCTTTTTTTAAAGAAGGGAGACAATTTCTACAAACTGGTCTAAATAAGGTTAGTTTCACTCAAGATTAATAATCATAAATTTTAACTTACATACGTTGCAAAGTAAATAATTTCACTTTAAAGAAATGTTAGGGTCTCTAAACTTCCAAAAAATACTTATTCTTATTTAGTACATTTCATTTTAGTGTATTCTTAGAGTTCTTTTGTTTGTTTGTTTGATATTTTGAGACAGGGTTTCTCTGTGTAGCCCTGTTATCCTGGAATTTACTCTGTAGACCAGGCTGGTCTCAAATTCAGAGAGATCCACCTACCTCTGCCTCCCGAGGGCTGGAATTAAAGGCGTGAGTCATCATGCCTGACTCATTCTTAGAGATTTTAAGTAAACTTTCCCACTTTTTGGCTTATGGAAGTTTGTTTTGTTTTTTAAAGTGTGTGTGTGTGTGTGTGTGTGTGTGTGTGTGTGTGTGTGTGTGTGTAAATGTATGCCATGTGTGTGCAGGTGTTCCCAGACACCAGAAGAGGGTGCCGGTTATCCCTAAACGAGAGTAACAAGCAACTGTGAATCACTTGACATGGTACTGGGAACCAAACTCTGGTCCTCAGGCAGAGTTGTTCATGTTCTTAACTACTGTACTGAGCCATGTCTCCAGGCACTGGCTTATAAGTTTTGAAAATACTTGCAAAAGTATGGAACTTCACTGAATTAACATTAAAGTACATAAAGCTTGTGTGCTAGAGCTTCAAATCCCAAATACTGGATGGTATTTATTTTCACTATAATTCCCACGTGAGTCCTCCAATAAAAATCTCTTCATCCCTAGGGAGGCATACACATAAAAAGATAGTATTTGCTGGGCTACAGTGGTTCACACCTTTAATCCCAGCACTCGGGAGGCAGAGGCAGGGGATTTCTGTGAGTTCGAGACCAAGCCTGGTCTACCGAGTGAGTTCCAGGACAGCCTCCAAAACAATACAGAAAAACCCTGTCTCGAAAAAACAACAACAACCAAAAAAGTATATATTAAAGATAAATAAATGATGTTCTAGGATTTGCTTGGCATCCAAAGCCCAGCCAGACTCCATGTATACACCAGTTTGAATAAGCCACACAACTATAAAATACTGACAGTGGCTTAGGGACCGTGGTCTTCAGATTTATGCCAAGTCTCTACATCTTGGTTTTTCTTTTCAAATATCAAAGACAATGGGCTGGGGAGAAGCTCAAACAGCAAACACAAGGACATAAGTTCAATCCCCAGAAGGCACAGTTTAAAAAAGCCTGGTGCTTGTAATACTGGCATGGTGAGGCAGACACAGCAGATCCCTGGGGCTCACTGGTCAGTCAGTCAAGCCAACTCGGCAAGTTCTAGGACAGTGAAAGACCCTATTCCAAACAATCACTGGGCAGCGCCCGAGGAATGAACACCTGAGGTCGTCCTCTCACGTGGATATGTACATCCACACACACACACACAAATGAAAAAATTTTAAATTAAAAAAAAATGGCAACACTCATCCCCAAACTACATTGCAGAAGGCTGAACAGGAAAGGGAAATTGTAAATAAAACAGCCAATCAGAAGCTCAAGGCATGTATTTTTGTTCACAACTGCAGACTTACCTGAGAAGATCTACAGAATCCCAAAACAGAGAAGCACTTCCCCTCCGATTTATATTTCATTTGTTCCTCATCCACTTTAGAAAAGGGAATTATATCACTTCCGTAGCGGAACCCTGGAGAAGGAGAGCGAAACATCTGTTAGGCATATGGGGCCTGAAACAAGCTCTGTACCTACATCAATAATACACGCACTCCAGGGGTAGTCTCCGCCTTCTCCTCCCCAGAACCAAATTATTGCCCCTATGATCAAGAGGGGAAAAGCAGAGGCAGAAACAAACCACATATACCATATACAGACGATTAAATTCTAATTACAGTTCTTAAGTAGTGTCTTCCGCAGTCTAGTTACCTTAATGATTACCCAGCCCAGAAGAAAGACTGTAGCAAACACAGAACATTAGTTATCCTCCAAAGACAGCCGTGTTGACTACAGTACAAGTATGAGCTGTAAACATAATCAAAGCACATTTACTCAGAAACCCGGAGATCCAGAGAAAATGGCCCATAGGAAATCTTCAGAACAAAATGTCCAAAAACCGCATGCTGGGGATAGACAAAACTTCAACCATCTAATGGAAGCCAAAACTCTACTTAAGAGCATCCAGTTGACAAGTTCTATGCTTCTGTATGTCTGTATGTTTGAATTTACTTTCAATGTCTTACATTGGATTAATATGGACTCGTATATCCCCTCCCCCCCAACAAGTGGGAAAAAAGACAAACCCCTAGCCCTGTTCTGTGGCATCTGCTCTCTGGAAGACTGTGCTCCTACAGTACACAGCACACAGGACCTCTTCAGTGACTACAAGAGGGACCATCAAAACCCAGGAACTCGATAGTGGGAATCCAAGGCAGATTCTGTGATCTGGGGTCTATTTGTTCCCAATAGGCTACTGTGGTCACATATTTAATGTTTTTAAAAAATTTATTTTCATGCATGTCTTTTCTAAAAAGATGACAACAAATTCAAAAATCCCAATACAAATCAACAGGAAAACGTATGACACATGGTCAAGAATGGAATTTAAACAAACATTTTTCCTTTTTTTCCCAGTCGCGTGTGTACAGGTTGGAGGAAATGTACGCACGTGTGCACGTGTGCACACAGGAGTGCTCACTTGTGAATGCAGGTAGAGATCAACTTCCCACGTGGTCTTCTATCTTTCTCCACCTTACTCGTAAGCCAGGAGCTCTCCATTTCAGCAGTTTCGGCAAGGCTGACTGGCTAGCAGGCCCCTGGCCCTCCTCTCCAGCACTAGGGTTAGAGGTGAACACTGCCACACATGGCTTTCTTGTTGTTGTTGATTGGTTTTTGTTTTTTAAGAGTGGCTCTGGCTGTCCTGGAACTCACTCTGTAGACCATGCTAGTCTTGAACTCACAGAGATCCACCTGCCTCTGCCTCCCAAGTGCTGGGATTAAGGGTGTGAGCTACCACATCCAGTCCATGCCTGGTTTGTTTTGTTGCTGTTTTTCCATTTTCTTGTGTAGGCCTCCCTCTAGGATACAGGCGTGCACCACAACGGCTGGCCCATGCGTGGTTTATGTGGGTGCTGGGGACCCCTGCACAGCAAGCACTTGATTCACCAAGTCATCTCCCAGACACTAAATCAAGTATTTTTCTAACTTTTTCTTGTCGTCATTTTCTTATTTAAATTAACAGTATCTTTAAAGTGCTTGTTAAAACGGTCTGTTTTCTAGTTTTTCTACTTAAAGTGCAAATGCTGTTTCTACAAGGCAAAGAGTGCAGAACAGACTCTAACTTACAACCGTACTCTTTGGCCCACATGTGTCTACTAGTTTCTCTGGTGAGAACGAGGACAGCCTACGTATTAGTGAGTAGACAATGAGGACAAAGGAAAGTGATGGGTAACTGAAAGGGGGTAAAAGAGAACAGAGGAACTTCTAGACGCTATGACCCAAGGTCTAACGCTTCCCCGTCAATTTCTGCCTCCATACAAAGCTTTCTGTCCCAGATAATCAGAGTTTTCTTACAACAACTCAAAGAACTAGTCCCCTCACCTCCTGTCCCACCTCTTTCTAACCCAGCTGTCACACTTATCTCCATAATGGGACATCTCTAAACACTACAGATGCATACAGCTCCCCTAAACATCAATGACTCCATTTGCTTTTAAGATCATGTATAAGCTCTGAGTCTGTCACTCAAAGCCCTGTATTGGTCCCAGTGCTAAACTGTATGGAAGAGCACAGCCCTGCAGGGATACGGCTCTAGATTTAGCTCTGCGCCTTGCACTGCTGGCTGTGTGGGTTTGCATATGCTAATGAGTATCTTTCAGCTTTGGTCCTTCTGATGACCAATCCTGATCATCTATTGGATGCGATTTGGAATCACCATGGAAACAGCCTCTGGATGTACCTGTGAGGAAGTTCCTACACTGGGTTAACTGAGGTAGGAAGACCCACCCTGAATGCGGGCGGCACCATCGCATGGGTGGGGTCCAGAACTGAACAAACAGGAGAAAATGAGTTTCCTGGCTACAGATGCACCATGAGCCAGTAGCCTCTCATCCCTGCCCGACAGACTGTTCCCTCAAACCTTCAAGCCACAATAAAACCCTTTCTTGTCTTATATTGTTTTGTCATGCATTTTGTCTCAGCAATAAGAAAAATAACTACGACAGCCTTATGTATAAAATAGAAATAGCAACAGTGTCTGCTTTATTAGGTTGTGACAATGAAGAGAGAAAATACAGGCTGCCACTTCGGACACACCAGCGCCCCTCTGAGCCCAACCTGTGCCCTACTCATGCTCTTCCTCCCTCCAAGAACCAGTCCTCACACCAGGACAGAGGGATCAGCTAATGCTGACATCGTGACTCCAGCTCAACTACAATTCTAAAATTCACATTCTGTGCTATGTTACTAAACTCAAACAAGTAATAGAAATCATTAATTATTAATTACATCCTGTATATACTTCTATCTTCTACCAGCTTCAAACTATCCCACTCACTCACAAGTAAATACATGCAGTAATAAACAGTGCCATATGTGACACTTTTTTCCAGGACTGGGAAGTAAAAACTATACTAAGTGGTGCACTACCTGATAATAAGTTGATCTAAGTACCCAGCTGCCACCTTAGGCACCATTTGGAAAATGAGGATTTGAGCTCTTGAATATTCAGATATTCTCACCTAGTTTCCAAGTCCTCTGGTTAAAGATGTCGTCTGAACATCATACTATTTAACCCAATGGTTGGGGTATATTTAGCACAACTTTAAAGAGCCTAGTATGTATAAGCCATGACAACAGTCATAAATAATACTTTTCCCCTAAATGAGCATATCTGATAGGATATAAAGCCTGAAATAGGCACTTGGAAGAATAAGGGGAAAGCTGCTTCGGGCCCATTTTTATGTAAGCATCCTCCCAGCCAGAGGATCTCCATTAAAATAAAGCCAAGCAGTAAGTGTGTCACTTGACACACTTAAAGGATCAAAGACACACCTCTTCCCTAAGAGCCATCTTGTCCAAGACCCCTGACCCCTGACCTACAGGAGCCAGTGTCTTACTGCTGCCTCAACTGCACCTCTGTTACTCAAAGAACCGTGTGCAGGTGAACAGCCTAGGCTGTCTCCCAGAACCCTGAAGATAGTCTTCATTGGGCAAAAGTGCAGATGCTTGTTAGCATACCTTGAATAGTGTCCTCTTTGGAAACTTCAGTTTCGTCATCGTCATTTAAGCAATAGACAGTTTCTTTCTGTATATCTTCCTTCTTCAGGGTTCTTGCATCCACAACTACCCAGGTCTTTTTAAGCTTCTCCTGTACGATCTATTTTCAAATGATAGTGAAAGGAAAAACAAGGAGGGACAAGATGTGACCGATGGAAAATGAAAAAATAACATACTTACCTGATTATTTGAGCTGCAAAGTATATAGCCTCTCCTTTCCAATCATGCAGATTTTAGTTTATTTTAAAGGGGATAACCTTATAACTGCCTCTATATTCCCCTTTTCTCCTTTGGCAATCTATGGGCACATATTAATTTTCCATAGAAAACCTCAAATTGCTTAATAAAGAGGGGCCACACATTTTACCATAGTCAGAAAGCTGAGAAGAATGAGAGAGCATATACTCATCCCTACTCACACTCTTTGGTCTTGACAAAATCCAAAATAACGCAAAATCACCTCCATGGGTCTCAGGATGTTTGGGAATTAAGTTCTTAAACATACAAAAATATGTCTGTGTATTTATTTCTCAGATTGAATTATATTTTTAGCATATACTTAAAGAGGGGGAGAATGCAAAGAAGCTCCTGGTGAAGCATAAATCAGACTTATACTCGGATTGGAATTTAAATAATCACCAAAGGCAACTACTTTTGAAGTGAACTATAATGTACAAATGCACACAATGGCCCACAACCTGGCACTAACGAGTCAACATTCTGGATATTCTGTAGATGCTGTCACTACTGGATCCATAGTAACTGAACTAGGTATGACCATGGCTCCAAAGCCCCACACATAACCCTGGTGTATTATCAACATGCCTGCTATGATAAACAGTGACAAGTTCATCTAGCACATTCTCTTTCTCCTAAAAGAAAAAGAGACAAAGGCTTGAGTTCCTAGTTAACAATCCATTATCTACTCAGCAACAGAGAAAGCAGAGGGAATCAAGTCACATTATAAACATCTTCAAACTTCTCCTCAAACGCCTTTTAGATGAGAAGCTAAACGGAGATTAAGTCAAAAGGGAAAACAGCTACAGAGGCAGTAATTATACACTGAATAACTCACACATGAATTATCAGCGTCTTACATAAGCGCATTTATCCGCCTGGCAAGACTGCTTTAAAAAAAATATGCATTTACTACCTACCGATTTATAGGCTACAATCTTTATAGACAGATCGGGGCCGATGGTCAGCTGGCAGGGCCAGGGCATAGAGCGCCTCTCAATCTTCTTAAAGACACACAGCTGCCGTAGACTCTCACTTAATAAAGGAAAACACATAATGAAAGACACAATTTTCCAATGTTAATTTGCACTAGATGGCTTACTTATTTTACTAGAATGAGAAGAGAGCAGTTGTTGATTATAAAGAAACCTCAGGGGGTGGCAGGAAAATGACAACCGTGGTTGGGAAGGAACCAGAGTCTGTGAGCTGGCTTGGGGGGGGGGGGGTAGAGCTCAAATCAGTTGCTTGACAGGAGAAAAGGAACTGCCCTGCCCTCCTCTCTAGCCAGTCACTTCTCTCAACTCTATCAGTGATTCCCCATGTTTGTTCAGAACAACCATTGAGGATATTATAAAAGCAGCACATTCACCACGAGTTTGGACGCAATGTAAGATGCTCACCAACTCCCAGAAAACAACAGACGAGAGGATAAGAGCCCCAGCTGGGGTATCAAAGGAAGGGCAGCAGGCTACAACATCACTGCTCACAATTCATTCGCTAATGCCAATTCCCCTAAATAAAAGACATGATGTTTTACATGCACACAACAGAGAGTGTTACATAAAGACCACCCAAGAGCTAAGGAAAACTACAGTTTTTAATGGTAAGAAGGGCCAGAAGAAGGTAAGTGTGATGCAGAGCGATGCTTCATTTACACAAAGATGAGATTCAAGTCTGTTTATCTGCCCCAATCAGACACGACAGAGGACTGACTATAGGAGAGGTGGGATTTGTGGTATTCACTAAGATAAAGAGCATAGGGATTAATGGTCTAATGTATGCAAGACGTACAATCCAGCCCTTCTGATTGACATTCATGGTATAGATGAAAGAAGAACCTATCATTGGTGAGAACACCTTACATCACCTACAGAGTTAGAGACAGAGATGTCAGCAGACTCCAGCTTTCACAACCATGTTACATGAAGTAGAAGCTGTTCTGCCTGAACCCCTGCTTCTGAAGTTCACAGCTACCAAAGACAACTTCAGGTTTGTGAAGAGAGTGTTATGTCTGCACCAGATCTAATCTGTCTCATGAGATATTATTAGTCCATCCAAGAAATCATGCGGTATGGATTCTGTAGCAGGGATTTTTAAGTTTTTATATAAAAATAATTTCCCATAGCCAGTGCTGTCTCTTTTGCTCAAGCCCTTATTCCTTATGCCTGAAAGTTCACTCTCTAGTCTTAGTTTTTATTTCTATAATCACAGGACAAAGACCATATATGTGCAGTATCAGAGAAACTGAATTTTAAAAAATTCCACTTAGTCACAATTAACTTAAATAAGAATAGTCACTGTAGGCCGGCAGTGGTGGTGCACACCTTTAATCCCAGCACTTGGGAGACAGAGACAGGTGGATCTCTGTGAGTTCAAGGCCAGTCTGGTCTACAGAGTGAATTCCAGGACAGGCTCCAAAGCTACTGAGAAACCCTGTCTTGGAAGAAAAAAAAAAGGATAGTCACTGTATTTGCATGACAAAATTCTATCTACATAAAAGACCCAAATCCCAAGTATTTTAAAGTACTAAAACATGCATAGTCAATAACTTAAATGCTTGCTGGGGAAAAGGGAGACACCTTAAAAATTAGTGGATTTATACCTTAAGGCATGTATTCCCAAAGTTCAGAGAGAAACAACACATCTGCACACAGTGTGACAAGAACACATACTATGCCAAGATATTTCATTTTATAGAATTCTTCACTAATTCCTTCAGTGATCCGTTGGGAAATTACAATTCCATTCCAATTTGCCGATAATTTCCAAGGTTTCCACATTTACATAATTATGATGTATTTCTTGTCAATTACAGAAATTCTTAAAAATTGTAGCTGAGAATAAAACAACAGATGTAGACTGTTGCTGACCTACTTCAGTTGAGAACTTTGCTTCCACTCCTGAATTCCATGTACCTACAGATGGGTGGAATTAATTCCTAAACAAAGGCAGCATTATCCCCGAGACACAAGCCAGACTGCTTGGCAAACTACCATACAGCCACCTTTGCCAAGTTTGACTCCTCAAACACGCAACAGCAGATACAACATAAACCTTCCCAGAGTCTCTGCTCGAGATAAGCGTGTATCCAACCCTAACCAAGAACAAGGTGGATAACAGAGATGGTCTCTCCCAGAGCATCTTCAGACAGATGAAAAAAGCAGTTTCTTTTACTGTTATATGGGTTTTTATTGCTATACGGTACTTCAGGGATTTCATTCTTTAAAAAGAAATCATTTGCCTGTCCAACATCAAGGTGAACACTTTCCCTTCGTGACAACAGCATTGTAACAACACTGGCCATGAATTCTTTATGTTTTGAGGTTGGACTTTGGGTGTTTTAGTTATATATGAGGGGGTTTGTTTTTATTTGTTGTAACAGGACTTAGCCAAACTATTTACTGATCCAAAGCAGCAGTTCTCAAACTGTGGGTCAAGACACCTTTGGGGTCAAACAACCCTTTCACGGGGAGCACATATCAGATATTTACATTATGATTCATAACAGTAAAATTACAGTTATGAAGTAGCAACAAAATAATTTTATGGTTGGGGGGTCACCACAACATGAGAAACGTTATCAAAGGGTCACAGCATTAGGAAGGTTTAGAACCAGGGACCTAAAGTTAAAAAAAAAAAAAAAAAAGAAGCCTCAAATCAAAAACCATATTATACCCTCCCATGATGCTCTCTAAAATTAGTATCAAAAAGTAAAGGAACACTGATTGTCTCAGATAGAACACCGTTTTTCATAACTAAAAATGGTTCTCGTTGGTGCAGCCACTATGGAAATTAGTACGATGAATAAGAACTATGCAACTATACCACTCCTGGGCATCCACCCAAAGGACTGTACACTCTACCCCTACCATAGAGATACTTGCACATCCATGTTTACTGCTGTTTTATTCACAATGGTGAGGAAAGGAACTAGCTGAGATGCCCATCAACTTATGAATGGATAATGAAGATGCGGCACACACACACAACAGAATTTCGTTCAGCTTTAAAGAAAAAGGAAATTATAAAATCTGCATGAAAATGGATAGAATTGAAAAATATATTAAGTGAGATAACTCAGGCTGTAAAAGATAAATAATACATATTCTCTCACACATGGATCCTGGCTTCTCGGTTTTTTTTTATATATGTGTATTTATGTAGGAAATGAGTTTACAGAGGCTGGGAACCAGGAAGAGCCCATGAGAGGGGGAAAAAAAGAGGCTTGAATTCTGCGTGGTGTGTGTGTTCGAGCGTGTGTGCGTGTGTGCGTGCGTGCGTGTGTGTGTGTGTGTGTGTGTGTGTGTGTACATGTGCATATGTGTATAAAAGAACACAAAATCTGGAAGTGGAAAGAGGAATAGCAAAGGTGGAAATGTTTCAGTGGAGATGGGTGGCTGGGAGATGGGACAGTCAGCCCAAGCTAAGGACGTATGAGAAAGCTATGAAGAGGCTAAGGAGATGCCTCGGGGATTAAGAACACTGGCTGCTCTTGCAGAGACCCTGGTTTGATCCACAGCACCCACATGGTGGCTCACTATCACTTGTAATTCTAGCTCCAGAGGATCTAACGCCCTCTTTTGACTTCTGTGGGCAACGGGCATACAAGTGGACCCACACATACATCCAGGCAAAACACTCACACAAACAAAGTAAAAATTTTTTTCTTAATCTTTCTAAACCATAAGGAAGCCTGCTGCTCTGCAAGCTAATTTAAAGATAGAGCTTTAAAGAATTTGAGCAGAAAGGTCCAGGTCTCTCTCCTTTGTGGGTGATAGAGCTGTCCCAGAAGTCACAGGTTACTAACTGAAAACCCCAGGGGCAGGCTACCTCCCTATGAATTGTTGGTAAGGGAAACCCCTGAAATGCCCTGAGACAATAGGGCTATTGCCACTACTGGTTGCTGCACAACAGAACTATGTGGAAAGACTATTACAGAACAAGCCAGTGCTGAGTGGGCAGCTTGTGCCCTGCTGCCCAGCGTGCCCAGTGCTGGAAGGTCTATACAACAGCTGGGGTGAACAGACATCAGCAGAGTTACTCACTGTGGACACTGTGCTATAATACTGACCTGACAGGCCCACTATATATATAACAGCAGCATAACTGTTAATGGTGACCAACCCCTCTGCGCTTGAATTGAAAGTCCACTCCGCAGGAGAAAAGCCACCTTTGGTACTGCAAACCTGGTCAAGAGCCTATGGTTATGGAGGCCATAGACCCCAGTGAAAAAGCTACTACTGTTTTGCTAAATGGACATGATGTCCCCCTCAAGCTATCTTTTTTAAAAGTCGTTTGTCTATGACTGCATCTGTGTCTGGGTATACGTACATGAGTGCACCTGCCCTCGGAGGTCAGAGGCATCTGGTCCTCCGGAGTCAGGAGTTCAGATGGTTACAAGTGAGATGCCTAATATGGATGTTGAGAACCAAACTCAGGCCTCTGGAAGATCAGGTAGCACCCTTAACCACTGAACAATCTCCCCTTCAAATTGTCTTCCTAACATTTATGTTTATGGTCGTGGGTTAGTAGTGCTGTGTCAGCTTTGGTCAGGGAATCCCTCTTTGTAGTAGGTAGCAATTACTTCCGCTAAGACTGTAACTGCTAATGTGCTAAGAGTAAGTGCTTGCTGAATGTTCAACCCTAAATGGGACATCTATATCATCCCCCACAGACTCAGGGAACACTGTAGAAGGGCCCTAACAAATGTAAAAACCAGAGGAAAGGGTAGAGTGGGGAGGGGCTCACACATTCCACCCCTCCCTGAAGAGCCATAGGCGGTTAACAGTTCATAAGGAAGGGGGATTTTTCATTTTTTAGAGGAGTAAAGAATAAAGACATTTTCTTCAGTAGCATAACCACTGGTGAGTTGGTCATTCGTCTGTAAACAATCCCTCACTTGTGCTCCTATAAGCAGTCCTCGATGGGTAGCCACATGGGTCACAAAGAGAAATGGACATGAAGCAGAAGGGAGCTGCGGGGGGAAAGGAGAAGGATCAGCAAGAGTGGGAGGATGAGGACAAGGGAGGGAACGGGAGTGGATGTGTGTACCCGAATGGAACACACACAATGAAAACAAATTCCTCAGTATACACTAGCAAAAGAACTGAAAAACAGTGCGGTTTGTAAATATATGAAAAGAGTGGTCCAGGAAACGAGGCTCAAGCTTGGAACAAAGATGGAATCTACTCCATCTCTAAGGCATCTGCATGCTCCCAAACTTGAGTGACACATGTCTGGAAATAAATGAGAACCCTGTGCAAACCATACAAACTAATAAAAGGGAGATTAAGGGTGAGCTTGCGGCTTCTTTAATAAAATTCAGAACACTTAATAAAGAATGACTGCTAAGTCAAGAATGGTTCTGAAAAAGAAAAGCCCCGGGAAGAGCTCTGATCAAAGAAACCCACGTGGGAAGATTAAAAGTTGCCGCCAGTGCCTCCATGTCCTACCTGAAGGAGTAGATCTCATCCAGCCCATCTTCACCTTCTAAAGACACCATCACCCTCTCCACCATGCGGATGCCTTCCTTTTGCTGCTCAGTAACTCCTTTTTGAGGAAAGGAGGGTCCACGGTGGTCCAAGCCCAAGTCACCATCTCCGCTGTGCCCAGTCTCGTTGTTCTTGCTGATTGGAAAAGGCAGGCTGTCAGGAAAGATAACCAGTAAAGAAGGTAAGTTTTGGTTCCAAATCTGGATTCCAACCCTGTGACTGTCACTACATATGAGGAAGATCAGTCAACCTTACACAGCTCCATAATTTTATCTGCCAATTGACATGTACCTACCTGAGAATTATTTCAGCTTTAAAAAGCTAAAACTTCTTGGATATGGTAAGAAGGAGAAACTGGTTGACGCAACCAAATAACTGAAAAGGCAGGCTCTCTGGGTGGCAGTAGAGTGGCTACAGCCAGGTCCTCTCCCCATCTCACCCCATCTTCCTGGTATTGGTTGCTCTCTTGGAATGGCCTCTTCCATGCCTCTCAACTATGGTCTGTGCCCCCAAACTTCTTTTTTGTTTGTTTGTTTGGGTTTGTTTGTTTGTTTTCCGAGACAGGGTTTCTCTGTATTGTTTTGGAGCCTGTCCTGGAACTTGCTTTGTGGACCAGGCTGGCCTTGAACTCACAGAGATCCACCTGCCTCTGCCTCCCAAGTGCTGGGATTAAAGGCATGTGCCAATAATGCCCGGCTGCCCCCAAACTACTGGGGGGCAGTCAGTAGTTGACTATCATGATGGACTATCATAATAAGCCCTGAGCTTCACTATACAAGGGACCAGAGACAGTGCCTTTTGGCCTTTTCTGTCCTTTCTGTCATGTGACAGTCACAGCATCCTGGGGGGGGGGCACAGATATCTCCCATCAAACACCAAATCTGATGGATTGGCACTGTGAACTAAGACTTCCTTCCTCCAGACCTCTGAGAGGAAATTATCTGCTTATAAATTACCTCACCTGTATTATCACAGCAATAGGAATCAACTGAGGCAAGCTCATGTTACCCAATTCTACAACCTACGAAGGACTCGTACCCCTCTGATCTCAAACTTCTAAAAATATCAGGAATCAACAGTCTGAAGGAGAGGTCTAAAAGAGATCACTGAAGGTCACTAAAGCCAAAGGTTAAAGTTCAGGAAGAAATGCTTCCTAGAGCAAGTCCAGGCAATACACTAAGCACACCAGAGTGCTGGGGAGGCTACCAATGATCACTCAGGGTTCCTGGGGGATTTAATAAGAGTATGAAGCTGAGGACGTAGTCGGCGATAGAGTGCTTTGCCTTGCATGCATGAGGCCCTGAATCCGACCCAACACTGCAAATAATCACAATAATAAATAAGAGGCTGTGAAACATAAAATACTTAAAAATTCAATGCTATTGTACACGTTAAAATATTATACAGAAGCTAGGCATGATGGCACATGTCTTTAATTCCAGCACTCAGGAGACAGAGATAGGTGAGTTTCTGAGTTCGAGGCCAGCCTGGTCTACAAAGCAAGTTCCAGCATGGCTAGAGAAACCCCATCTTGAAAAACGGAAAAAAAAAATCTTACCCAGAAATCAGAATATTTGCAGACGAAAGCAAAGCACAATTCTGTTACGTTTCTCTCTAGTTATTTGCTTGAAATGAGGCTAACTCTAGGTTGGGATCGGCAATCACAAAACACATTAATAACCAGAGGCTCGGGAGATGGCTCAGCTGTTAAGAGCACTCGTTTCTCTTGCAGAGGATCCAGCTTTGGCTCCCAGCACCCACATGACAGCTCACAACCATCTGTAACTCCAGTTCCAGGGACCCCACAGGCACTGGGCACACATGTGGTACTCAGACATACATGCAAACAAGACACCCAGATATAGAAAATAAAAAATAAGTCTAAAACATATTAAATAATCAGTCCATATGGAAACTGAAAACCCACCCAAACACATGTTAGCATAACACCATACATGGGAACTTTAGATGTGCCTTCACCCAAACAATGGCAGTGATTTCTCCTACACTAAGTCAATGGAGATTACTGCTTCCATTTGATGAAAAGAAACTAAAGCAACTGAGGAAAGAACGGGACCAGAGCCACCCAGTCACCTGAGTGACAGAGTGACGCTCCTGTGCTATGGCATATCATCTCACTGTATTCCTGCAAACAAGAGAGCTGAATTAGGTCATCTTTTCTGTTAACCCACCACTCTGTAGGTCACCCCCATGCAGATGGATACCTTACAGGCAATCGATCACTCTGCTTGCTATCCTTAAAATAAGGCTTTCTGGGTAACCTTTCTATTTATTTAGCATGACAGAGCTGCATGAGCTGTACTACACATGGGGCTAAAGCACTGCCCCATGTGCACACAGACACTTTGCATTAGGCACTGAGTGTCACTATGGCATAGGAAATGTAATCTAGAGAAAGTTACAGTAACAATTCTTTCTATGCTGCATTTAACCAGAGTAGAGGAAGCCAAGAACTACACCCAAGGAACAAGCCTGCTTTAAATGAAACCAAAGCAGTCGAGAATGCATGGGGTACACTGAACAGCAGGTGATAGTCTGTGGTGTAGGAGAAAACATATCCCAGGGAAAGTATGCTACCAGCCAACTAACAAGCAAGTGGAAGAAAAGACCACCTCCTTCTGGGTACTCTACTCTGGTGCTCATTTCTAAAAGATAAAAAGCGGCTCTTTCAAATGCATTGGCAGAAGTGCAGTACAATATGCTCCAAGCATGAGGCATCCTTAGACCATGGGCAGGGAACTGAGCTAAGCCAGCCTTCTGAAATACCAAGAAAACCTCAGTTCCATGAGAAGTGTCACTTGAAAAACACTTAATTTCTCTGAAGTACCATCTTAGCAAGTAGCAGTTTGGTGGGCTCTTCTGAATGCTTCTCTGTAGCCCCGCAGGAAGACGATGTCCCCAGCAGTCTTAGGAGAGGCACACACGCATGCAAGAGGGGTTCTTAACTCCCCATGGCAGGCAGTCTAAGAGGCCGAAGGCGCCCACTCCGAATGCTTCTTAGTGCAGTGCTCAATTTGAAAGATGAGCATCCCTGATCAGACTAATAATTCAACATCCTATAGCATCGCTCCACTTCAGCCAGAAATAGGGCAAGAAGAAATGGGTTTTCAATGCAGCAGGAAGGATTAGTATAATGACAAGAAGAAATGGGTTTTCAATGCAGCAGGAAGGATTAGTATAATGACAAGAGTTTTTTAGTAGGGGTGTACAATAAAGAAAGTAAATGCTAGAGGGGAAATTCAAGTTACTGTGAGATGAAGGAATCTCTTCCTTATAAGCCATAAAATATACATTTTCTCCCCAAATTTTATAATACTCATAGAAAATTACACTTTATTATGTGTCTGCATCCTGAGAAAGGGTTAAATATAGACATTCTATTGCTATAAATTGATTCCAAACATAACATTTTGTCTACCCTCAATCTACTACTAACTGTAGACATTATGCTCCGAGCCATGTATGAAAGAAACTATCAATCTGATAATGTTGTCTATGCAGACAGGAAATCTGAAGATCCTCGAAAGGTGGTTTTTTAATTCCTTGATTCTTGAGGTCTAAAATTTGCTATTGATCTCAATTTCTCTGTATCATTATTTCATTTATCTCTTTATCACCACAGCTCAAAACAGTTCCATGAACACAAGTATAACGGATACACATAAAGTGGCCAACCAGTGCCCTGGAAGATTCCTACTCAGCCAAAACAGAAGGCTCCTTTAAGCTGTCTATACAGGGCCCCGCTCACTGCGTAAGAGAACAAGATTTTCCTATACATTATTCCCAAGCTCTTACAAGAACTGCAGGGAGATGCCAGACTTCTTCAAGTTACAAATGATAACATCCAGTTGATCTTGGCTGAATGGGCTGCTGAGGTCAGTGAACACTTCAATATGCTTCTTCCCAAACTTCTTCCCTCTAGAAGACAGAGTGATCACATTAAGAAACTACTCTCTGAGGGTCAGTGAGAAGGCTCGGCAGGTCAAGACAATTGCCATGCAAGTCTGCAACCTGAGTTCAACCGCCAGAACTCACACAGGGTGGAAGACGAGAACTGACTCCATGAAGTTGTCCTCCAGCCTCCACACATATGTGCTATATGTACACATGCACACACGCACACACACACACAAATGCACATGCACAAATGCAAAAAAAAAATGATTTTTGTTGTTGTTATTGGATTTTTTTTTCTAGACAGGGTTTCTCTGTGTGGCTCTGGCTGTCCTGGAACTAGCTTTGGAGACCAGGCTGGCCTCAAACTCATAGAAATCTGCCTGCCCCTGCCTGCCTAGTACTGAAAAGGTGATTTTAAAGAAAGCATTCTCCTGAATTTTTTTCCAGGAGTTGCAATACACTTGGTCATTGAGCAGAGAGGCTAAGGACTGAATCTACATATATTAATAAGTGTGATTAGTCTCAAGGTCCACATACTCTTAATGCTCAGGTGAGCTCCTATTAAATATATAACCAACGTCACATAGTTCACACTTGGCTTAGCATCACACCACATAATATTCTTGTGTCCCTGGCTCTGATTCCTAGTGCTGTGGTTTAAAACAAGCCCTTCCCACGTGCATAGCTTCAGATGGAAACGGGACCCTGAGGTGTGTGAAGACAGCAGCCCTGGCCCTGTACTTTCACCTTCCAAACGTCTAGCTGGGACACTAAACATGGGACTCGCTGCAGGAGTTTGCAGAGGATTCAGACTGAGATAAAATAACACAGACTGAGGCCTGGGATGTCAGCACAAATGGCTTTCCTAACAATGCACCCATCTGTGTTCAAGGGCACACACTTTTCAAGACACAGTAATTAAGCAAATAACAGGTCAGGACACTGACTACTGTTACTGTGCACAGTGTGCCAGTTACTTATGGATCATAGCACTTAGTACTTTTTTAAAATTTGGGTAATTAGTTTAAGTCAAATAAGAAAACTGAAAGATGCCAAATGCTTATTTCTCCCAGAGAAACTCTCACCAAATGTGGTCCTGTGTTTTAAACTTTCAAAAACTAGAAAGGTCAGCATTGACTTCTGCCAAATATTCTTCCTGCCAGGCTGACATGCTACTTATTAATAACAAAACACATAGTATAGTATACTGAACACAGCAACCCACACTTTTCCCAGGAAGCCTCATCTCTGTATTTCTTCAGGTAAGACACTCACATAGTTTCACGCTGAATCAAATCCATGCACACGATCAGGGCGTCCAGGACTCAGCTAGTTAAGGGTAGAAACAATGCCAACAGTCCCTTCATCCCACGAACACAGCAGTTTCTCCCAGAAAAGCCCACATTGTTGACAACTCTAGACAGTGGATGACTCGAAAAGGCTTGTCCGTGTACCCTCTCCCAGAATTTATCTCATAAATGCTTTCTATCAACATATATGTTCTCATAAATCGTGTGAAAAAGAAAATACACACAGGACAGTTAATGCATATTCGTTCAACAAAAACCTTAAAATGTCATTTAACAGTACCTAGAACCCTTATTCAGTAATCACAATCCATTCTTATATACGAAGCAAGCCATAGGGCATCATTTCCAAGTTACTCCAAACACAGCAGCACCTCCCAGTGGTCATGAATGGTACTACTACCTGCTTAGAAAAAAAAGTAAGAATACACTTAAAATTAGAACCCAAATCGCGTGTATGTGGTGGGGAGGGTTGAGAAAGGGTTTCATTTCCGTTTGGAAGGCTGAACCTCAACTGAAGAACTGTCTCCATCAGATTTGACATGACTGTAGGACATTTTCTAATTACCAAGTGACATAGGAGAGCACAGACCACTGTCGTTGGCTCGCCATCCCTGCCTGGCAGGTGGCCTGGGATGTATAAGAATGGTAGCTGAACACGAGCATGGGGAGAAAGCCAGCAAGCAGCGTTCCTCTGTGGGTTTGTGCTTCAAGATCCTGCTTGAGCTCTTGCATTGGCTAAAACAAACCTTTACCTCTGCAAGTTGATTATGGTCAGTGTCTTACCACACCAACAGAGAAGAAAACTAGAACAGGCCTCTAAGGAAGAAATGAAAAAAATCTCAGCTTGAATATCATCCTTCATCCAAAAGAGCAGAGAAAGTTAGCGCTATACTCTTCTGAATATGTATTTCTCATCTCTGAGTGGTTTGAATGAAAATGGTCCCCAAAAGTTCATAGGGTGTGGTATTATTTGAAAGGATTGGGAGGTGTGGCCTTGCTGAAGTGGGTGTGGTTCTGTTGGAGAAGTGTGTCACTGGGGTGGGCTCTGGGGTTTCCAGTGCTCAAGCCAGGCCCAGTGTCACTCTTTCTTCCTGCTGCCTGTGGACTGGGATGTAGAACTCTCAGCTTCTCCAGCACCAAGTCTCCCTGTGGGCTGCCTCGCTTCCCACCATGATGACTAAACCTCTCGACTGTAAGCCAGCACCAATTAAATGTTTTCTTTGTAAGAGTTGCTGTGGTCAGGGCTAGAGAGATAGCTCAGTGGTTAAGCATGCACTGCTCTTCCAAAGGACCCAGGTTCAATTCCCAGCACCCACATGGCAGCTCACAACTGTCTGTAACCCCAAGATCTGACACCCTCACACATACATACATGCCTGCAAAACACCAATATACATAAAATAAAAATAAATAATGTTTAAAAAGACTTGCCATGGTCATGATGTCTCTTCCCGGCAATAAAACTCTAGCACGAGCTCCAAACACAATGATAAACAGTACCATCAATATACGCAACTTCCTGTACCTCTCAATATCACAAGGCACAGAAAGAGCAAGATATTTGAAGACCTAGAGCTGGGCATTAATTAATTAATTAACTAGTTCCATATCAATTACACACCCTCTTTTCCTCAGAGGAAAATATGCCGAGATATTCAGAAACTCTGGGAGAGCCTCACCCAGTTGGATTGTGATTTTCCAGACAAAGGAAAATTTCTTGTCTTCTTGGGCACAAAAAGGATACAGTCGGCTTGTCGAGAGCCTAGTTGGATTTTGCTTTCGATGTCTTCCAGCAAATCAAAATCTGGTAGCATCAGGTGTCTGCGCACTGTGATGTTCTGATACTGGTCCTCACTAGCAAGGGCATTCTCAGTGCTGTCTGTTCCAAAGAGGACTAAAGCAATCTCATCCTTGCTCTCAGAAAACACCTAGGGTGAGACAGCCAAAGGTGGAAGACTGTATTCGAGCAGCCTGGAAGGAAGAGGATGCCTAACCTTCAGGGAGCAGAAAGGCCATACCTCATTAGACTGGTCCCACCCAATATTAGACTAAATGAACAGGGGACTTACTAGCAATGACAATTAGGCTGTAAACAGACTTCTATTATTATTATATACAGATGGGTGATTTTACCTGTGTGTATGTTTGTATTTGTACCTAGTACTCCAGAAAGGGTACCGCTCACCCAAAACTGGAGTTACAGATGGTTGTGAGCCACCATGTGGGTGCTAGGATTGGATCCCAGGACCTCTGGAAGAGCAGCCAGTGCTCTTAACCTCCGAGCCATCTCTCCAGTTCCTACGCGGGTATTTCATTATCTGTAAGTCTTACATTTCATTTCAGCACAAATAAGCATGCACACTTCATTCTCTTTCTGCTCTTGACTCTATGGTAGATGTGATTAGCAGTTCCCAGTTCCTATCTCCATCACGTCCTCAGATCCATGGGCTCTGGCCTGGACCAGTGGACTGAAATGAATCCTTTCTCCTCTAAGTCACAGGTTTTTGTTGATTTGTTTTTCTTTATACCAGCAACAGAAATTAAACTAGAACAGGCGTTTTTGAGGTAGGGTCTTTTCCTATAGCCCAGGCTGGCTTGAAACTTGCTATGTTAATCTGAAACTTACCTGTCGTTGGACAAACATAGTCATCACTTTCTTCGCTTGTTCAAACGGGGATTCTTCGCCAGGAAAAGAGTTACCCATGGCAATGCCCACATCCATACATAGCACAACAGCTGCCTAGAAACAAGACCCAAGAAACAAAAAGAAGTTATTAGCAAAGATTCTGAAGTGGGCCCCCATCCTGGTACGAGAAGAGGAATGATAAAGGGAGGGGGCATGTGCAATAGACACCGCATGTAAGACACGTAACATTCCACTCTGGAGAGCCTGTGAAGGGCCCTAACGTCCCTAAAAGCCAGCTAGGTGGAGGAGCCAATCATATAAGCAACGGTGTTACAGTCATAAGCAACGGCACTAGGCCATTAGATAGCAATCATATATTGGGGACTCTCTAGAGTTTCTTTTTCCAATTGCTAGGATAAAACATCCTGACAAATAAGGAAGAACCCCTTTATTTTAGCTCACAGTTCCAGGATACAGTTCATCACATTGAGGGAGTCAAGACATCGGGCACTCGAAGCAGCTGGTCACATTTCATCCCGTCAAAGGAAAACAATGAATCCACACAAACGAATGCTCAGTTTGCTTTTCCCATTTCATAAAATCCAGAGACCAGGGAAATGTCGCACCCATAGTTAAGATGGATGGGTCTTTCCAGGTCAGTTACCATAACCGAGACAATCTGCCTGCAGGCAGGCCCAAAGGCCCATCTCCCCTGTGATTCTACAGTTTGTCAAGTTGATGATTGATACTATCACAGGGACTAAGGAAATGAAATAAACCAAATGCAAAGTGGACATATGTAAAGCTCTATGTATTTTGCATATAAAATCTATTCAAATATAAATTTCAAAAGACCTAAGCTAATAACTTGTAATTTTAAAGTAAATTATTCATTGAATTAACAAGGTGATACAACTTCAATACACTATCCTCACAAACATGCTAAGTTGTATCAACACAATAATGTATTTAAGAAAGAAAAATGAAGGTTCTTTTGGTGAAAACAAAACACTAGATTAGCAATCCAGAGATCTGGGTTCTAGTCCCATCTCCACTAATTGATTAGCTCTGATCCCTTGGGAATGTCACTTAACCTCACTGTTACTTCAGTCAGGTATAAAGCTGTTGGACCACATGAGGTATTGATCCTATGAGTCTCATCTGTGCTTTGTGATGATCAGACAAACTGTGGACAATACTGGGCATCATCTCTTATGAGAGAAAGATTTAAAAGTGACCAATAAATAAGGTACCCTCTGAGTCAGCAATATCTGTCTCTAGAGGTGTCTGAAAAGCCTGGATGAGCTCCTATACAAGGGAAATGACTCCTAAATTTGACTTTTCTTTACAACACACAACGGAAACACTCTTTTCCCTTTGTTCATAAAGAATGGAGCCACATGATGCAGACATGTTAACAGATTTCAGAAACGATGGCAATTTATTTGGGGATGTGCAGTAATAAACTACAGAGTACATTTAAGAGGAATTCAATTTACACCCCACAGGGATTCCCTCAGCATAAAAATCTTTTTTTTAAAAGTAAGAATTATGCCAGGCATTGGTGGCACACGCCTTTAATCCCAGCACTCAGGAGGCAGAGGCAGTCAGATCTCTGAGAGTTCCAGACCAGCCTGGTCTACAGAGCAAGTTCCAGGACAGCCTCCAAAGCCACAGAGAAACCCTGTCTCGAAAAACAAAAAATAAATAAAGAGTAAGAATCACAAAAACAAGCTGGATGTGTTTACTTAATGCATGTCCACAAAACCTACTTTTAAACTAGCAAACACTAAACTAATTAGAGATTCAGAAAACGGCATCAGAGTTTCACAGTATGAAAATATACTTTAAGTTCGCTTTTGGAAGCAGTAAGAAAACCACGGAAGAGAGACTGGGAGAGTACAGCAACTCTTCATCTCTACACTGTAGCAATAGAGCCAGCGCTTTTATTTCAAGTACATCTGTCACAAATACACCCTTTACGGGAGCTACAAAGTTTTCAGGAACTGAAAGAAGAACAAAGAAGGTGAGCAACATCATTATGAGTTCACAGTCTAATCAAAACTTCCCAAATGCGGGGGTGGTGGAGGAAAACAGATTGGTTATTCAAACCCCTATCTTGCTTGCCTGTTTTAAATGAATGGGTGAGATGAATGAATCGCAATTACATCTCTCTCTGGTGATCAAAATTTCACTTAAAGCTCACTGTAATTTATTAATCTAGGAAGCCAGGGGTCATGGGTACTTTGCAATGCACCGGATTTTTACCCCCAAGGCTCTGAAAAATGGTTTGGGTTCACATCAGTATTTTACCACCTATGGAAAGGGTGACCATGTTCTAATCACTCCAGTTCTTCGTGCCTTGGTTCTCATACTTACAAGCTAAGGACAATAATGTTCATCTCAGGGGTTGGTGTGAAGATTTAATGAAATAGGAATAAAAGGCTTAGTTCTGTGCTTCACTCAGTAAGCTTTCAATAAATTCGAGATACTAAATTATTAAGAAGGTGATAATATGACACTATATTCTCAGTTATTTTATTCACAGAATTCCTATCTGAAGTTTTACAGGCCTGTCACGTAGGGGGTGATCCTGGATGACTTATATAAATTCTTATGGAGATTTTTAAGAACCCAGGTTCAGAAGCGGTAAGGGGCGCCTGCGTTGGCAGGTGCAGTGGATAGAAGGGAGGCAGCTAGGGAGAAGTATGAGGAACAGGTGAGGCAAGAGGGAGGAGAACGGGGGGCGTGAAGGGGCGGACAAGGCTCAAATGCAGAACTCCAGACCCCAAGCTTTCTGCTTTGGGCATTCATCCTTGCTACCGAACCACCCTCTGCAGATCCCAGGCTTGCGTAAGGCACAAAGCCCAGCTGTCAGTACCTTATTAGCGGACCACGCCATGTTGCTGGTCCACGGGCGGTTTGGTTACTTTTTCCGGACGGAAACCTACAGTGCTTCAACTCAGTTCCGGACGATTCACAGACCTAGACTTCCGGCTCTGCGGGCAAGGGGCGGGGAAACCCGGCTCCTGGGCTGTGAGCATGTGCACAATTCTCTCCCTGCTCCCTCCCTCTCCTCCCCCAGGTAAGGCTTTGTTCTCTTTGACTTGCTAAAAACGCTAGTACCGGGCGAGCGAAGTGGCTTAACCAGTGAAGCCACTTGTCACCAAGCCTTAAGGACCCTAGTCCGACTTCAGGGACCCACTTGGTGGAGACAAAGAGCCAATTCCTACAAATTGTCCTCTGACCTTCACTTCACACATCACATCACAATAAATAAGTAAATAAATGAATATTAAATAAACTTAATAATAAAAAATAGGGAGCTGGAGAGATGGCTCAGTAGTTAAGAACTCTGGCTGCTCCTCTAGAGGTCCTGAGTTGAGTTCCCAGCAATCACATGGTGGCTCACAACCATCTATAATGAGATCTGATGCGCTCTTCTGGTGTGCAGGCACACATGCAGATGGAGCACTCGGCATTTAAAAATGAGTCACGGGTTAAGAAAGTACTGGTCATGCAAGGATGAGTTCAGGTCTCAGTACCCACATCAGGCAGTTCAAAACTCCAGTTCCATGGGATCTGACGCCCTCTACTGGCTTTCAAAGGCACCTGCACTGAGATTCACATACCCACCTACACAGGCATGCCTACGTGATTTTTAAGAATAAAAATGAGGGCTGGAGGGATAGCTCAGCCGTTAAAGGCTAGGCTCACAACCAAAAATATAAGAATAAAAATGAATAATCGCTAGTACTGAGAGATCACTCTGGATAGCATTTTATATTAGCACTCTGGAGTTATAGTCCCCTATGTAAGACGCATCCAGAGAGTCACTTACCTCCTCTAAAGGCCTTCTAAACAGGGGATTAAAGAAAGACTGAACAGGTACAATGGCCTTAGGACCTAATGCCAAAGGAAAGAGTGAGACTTCTCCGAGTAAGCAAAAGTAGGAAAGGCTTTCAATTTTGCAGACAAAGTATAAACACCTAAAATGGGGGGAGGGGAGTCCACTGGAGAGATGGTTCAATGGTTAGAAGAAGCACTGGGGTTGTCTTCCCAGCACCCACAGAGCAGCTCACAATTGTCTATGACTCCAGTTCCAGGGGACCCGACACACACACACACACAGACATACATGCAGGCAAAACACCAATGCACACAATTTTTTTTAAGAAGGGGGATAAAAACACTTAAAAGGTAGCCTCTGCTAGGAATTCCTTGACAGCCTGGAGTAGCTGAGGATGAAAAGGAAGTTCAGGAAGCTTAAGGTGTCTTTTTCTGGAAATGGAGGTGTCTGCCGATTGCAGCAAATGTTTGCCACTCTTTTTCAAGGAAATCGCCCAGCAGCCCTTTCCTTTTGGCGACCAGACATGTCCTGGGGTGACATAAGGCACACAGATAGGGAGCCCATGGCAGATCAAAGTATGGGATATCACCAAAGTCCAATTTGGTGAACCAATGAGTTTTATTGTGGGGTTTGAGGTGTGTATAACCATACCTGGCACTAGTGCTCTTTTGAAATTATTGTAGTTTTATAAGTCTTTAGGTCAAGGTTGGCCACCATGTCAACATCATTTGGGTGGCTTCTCAGCCCCCCACCCCCACAAATGTCACCATGCTCCTCTACCCTTACCTTAATAATGATTTTTGTCCTTAATCATTGATTTCCCTAACCAATGTGACTGACATAAATGTGATAAATGTAGTAAATGTGGCTGCATTTTTTTAAGATGAGTCAGGGAGGCTGGACAGATGGCTCAGAGGCTAAGAGCACTGGCAGCTCTTCCAGAGGTCCTGAGTTCAATTTCCAGAAACCACATGATGGCTCACAACCAACTATAATGAGATCTGGTGCCCTCTTCCGGCCTGCAGGGACACATGCAGGCAGAACACTATACATATAAATAGATAGTTAGATAGATAGATAGATAGATAGATAGATAGATAGATAGATAGATAGATAGATAGATAGGTAGGTAGGTAGGTAGGTAGGTAGGTAGATAGATAGATAGATCTTTTCTAAAAAAAAAAAGTTAGGTTAAAAGGCGACTTGGAAACAGTTCATCTAAATAGAAATCCCATAATTCTGTGGTACACAGAAAGCCAGAACATAGATTCCCTTACTGAGATCATCGCACACTCACCTTGGCCCACCTTTCCGTGAGCACTATAGTATTCAAAGCTATTTGGGGGAAACCTCAAAAGTAAAGTAAGTAAATGGCAATCAGATTCTATTATTTTTATTTTCATTTAAATTACTCTTATCTCTGGAAATGCACCAGGAAGCACCACAGCTATTCTCAAAAATACTGGACACGGTTTTTTTTTTCTTTTTCTACTAACAGGATTGTTTTCTTGATTCTCTGAAAGTGGAGTTCAGCACCATACACTAAATGAATGTCACTGTTTGGTAGTTGGGGAGCTTGACCCACCCCTCTAGTTCAGTTCATGCTGGTTCCTCGAAGCATTTGTTTCTGAGACACAAGAAAAAATTTGATCACTTTTTGCAAAGAACCCCAATTCCAAAACTCACTGACCTCTTAGGACTGGACATTTTGAAACCAAGACACTTAAAAATGAAGTATTTCTTCCATCCAGGATCTTTTCATCTGGATTAATTGGTGATATTACCCATGTCAGAGGTGCTTCATGCTAGCGAGGTCTGAGTGAATAAGGCTCCCGGGTTTGACCAAAGCACAAGCTAAATGTGCTGTTTTGAGCTACTAACCCCTGCTGGGATAGTCTCTCTCTGTCTCTCTCTGATTCTCTCTCTGTCTTTCTCTCTGTCTCTGTGTGTGTGTATGTCACTCTCTTTTCCTCTCCCTCTCCTCTGTCTTTATAGATTAAATACTGTCAATCCCTGTGCCCCCTTTCTTTCCAGGAAGAATTATCCTGTAGTTATATGACATATATGAAACCACGGGACAAAAGTTAAGTTGTCAAGTACAAGAGATGCTACTGTCTAAGGCATATGCATAGTATATGTAGCCCATATTTAGGTATAAATTCTCCTTGTAAGACTAGGACCAAAATAGCTAAATGAATAAACAAGTAAATAAATAAAGCTGTATTAGTAGTTTTGAATCCTGAATGATATTAATACCTATTCATAAGGTGTGGACTCTTGCTGGGCAGTGGTGGCACATGCCTTTAATCCCAGCACTCGGGAGGCAGAGGCAGGGGGGGTCTCTGTGAGTTTGAGACCAGCCTGGTCTACAAGAGTGAGTTCCAGGACAGGCTCCAAAGTAATACAGTGAAGCCCTGTCTCAAAAAGACAAAACAAAACAAAAAAGATGTGGACTCATGCCTGCCTGCCAAATAGCTATTCTCCCTTTCCACAAATTTACATAACCCAATATCATCTAGGAATATAGTTACCCAGATAAAAGATAACGTTTCCCAGTATCTTGATTGTGAGGTCATGTGACTATAGTGTGGTCAATGAGATATAATAAGTATTGACGGGGGCTTTGTGCCCCCCTTTGCTTCTTCTGTATTTCCCAGAAGCACTACTATAACAGCTAGAGATATAGTCAGCATTTGGAAACTGAAAATAAGAACACCATCCAGTGAACTCCAGATGACATCACAGGGTTTTGGGGTGGTCCACCTCCAGACATCTATATAAGATGGAAGAAGATTTCTCTCTTGTTTGGTTCACTCATGTTTGGGGCTCTAATTATATGCAGTTCTATCTAAACATACATGATGCCCAGTCTTCATCTTAGTAGCCTAGCTACCTAAATGTGCCGCTCCATCTCCAGCTATTTTCTTGGTGGATTTGGTTACCCCTGAGCCTCTTTTTTCTTCCTGTCACATTTAGGCACATACTTCCCTGGATTACAGGCACCAATAACACCATCAGGCCTCTGAAGAAATTTACAGTGGACCTTCATATTCCAGATAAATGGTCATTTCAGGGCAAAGAGTCAAGATGCACTTGCATATTAGACGAGCTATTTTGGCACAAGTTACTTTTCTGTTTCCTGCCCTCTTGGGATAATGAAGATGGTGGGCAGACCATTGTGAGCTAGGATTTTCCAGGTCTGTAGCGGGGACTGGATAGTTTAAGGAAAGAACCTGCTAGAACTGTAGAATGACTATCAACTACTAGGGAAAGAAGTCTCTGGTGGTTTAGACAGAGGAGGTCTCTACTCCCTGGATGGGGTCCCTGTTGGAGAGATTGCCTGAGATATTGTCAGACTCCAGCAGCTCCACAATGCTGTAGGGAGAACAGTCCTCCAGGCCCAGCTTGCTGCAGAGCCAGCCACAGAAGCCTTTCTCCATGTCACAGGCAGCTTGCCACCACGCTCCCCAGGACCATGACAGCTGGACCACGGCGGCATATAGCCCCAGGGAGGAGGCCATGGCCATGATGAGCACTGGATAGAGGAGAATGAGGCAGGGACAGTAGGAAATCTTATGCCAAAAGGTCCTCTCCTCATTGTACACAAGGAAGATGTTGTACCAGGTGATAGTGCCATAGTAGAAAGACACGACAAAAGAAAGGATAAAGACCACAGGTAGGCAGACCAGTGTCCAGAGGACCACATGTGGGCCCTGGTCTGCCCCCACCTGGCAGACACTTCTTCCCTCAGGGGCTGCTTCCCTTGACAGCTCCTTGGGTTTGGTCAGTTCCTGCAGCTCCTTCTCTGTCAACGTGACGTGGATGTCCACCATCTGACCCTTCTTCTTCCCTCGAGTGATGGTCCCCGTCAGTGTGACGTAGCGGCTGTCCAAAGGCATGTTCCACACACCTGCAGTGCACAACGGAGATGACAGTCAAGAACTGAGGACTCCATGTTTCATCTCAGTGCCATCCTGAGGCCAGACCTGAGTAGGAGCAGTAGAACCAGTGAGTCAGCTTAAAAGAGATCTCCCTTGGAGGCGATCTCTGCTATTACCACTCTTACAGAGACCGATGACTCCATGTGTGGGCCCGACAAAACTCTGAGCAAGATTAACTTGTTCTTCCTGAGGTCTCTCCATTTTTCGGGACCGCAGCCTTGACAAAGTCTCACCAGTTCATGACCCTGTTTCTGGTTAACAAGTGCTCTGAAGGCATTATTTATAAGTACTAACCTGTGTACATACGTATGCATACTGAGGGTACAGCCCACCCCCTCCCTTCTCATGGCTAGTTTCCGAGATGGGGCATTCTCTCATGCTTATAGACACCCCAGGCCTTATATTTAAGCTATAAATAACCCATTCACCACGCACACAACACACCGTGTGTGTATATATATATATATATATATATATATATATATATATATACATATATATATATTATGTCTGACTTGCTTGAAAGTCCACCTTGACTTCCATAGTTCCCAGCCCTCTATTTGCCCTTGCAAGACGTATCAGGATCCAGCCTGGCTTCCCTTACTGACCTTTCTCCATCATCTGCTTGGTTCTCTCCACACTCTAACAAACACCCTTCACCATCAATAGGCCACTGTCTTCCAAAAGTAAACAACAAAAACAACAAAACAAAACTGGCCCCACATTTTTCTTACCTGGCTCCTTCATGTTACTTAGAGGGGTTCAAATGTCACTTCTTTTTTAATTGAGTCTTTTATTGTAGATGTTTAACAAGCTAACCCCATTAGCTTGGGCCCTTTGCCCTGCCGCCATAGCGGATGGCTGGAGAAAGACCCCAAGCAACCTCAAGGCAGGGATCTTAAAGGGCAATGTAAGGGGAGTGTCTAGGGGTATGAAACAGTCTCAGGATTGGTGCGCTTCCAGGTTTGGACGACCTGCCCTGTGTTGATTGGTCAACTGGTTGTTATGGCCCATAGGCCCTCCCAGGGCGGTTGCTATGCTCTGCATGTCACTGCTGTGCACTTGTCTGTAAAGCACACCCAGAGTCATAAAGCACAGCCCGAGGGCATCTGACCTCTTAGTGACCAGGGCAGGAGCCGCAAGGCCATGCAAGCACATGTTAGCCTGTAATGGCTGATAAAATGGGGGACTGGTCACTACATTCCCCCCTTCTCGAAGTACCCATGACAAGACTCAGTCCTGAGTCCTGCCTGTTAGGGGCTCAAAGGGGTGTTAACAGACCCTGCCGTTAGCCAACAGATTTTTTCTGAGAGAGTGACATTTGTATCTATTATCATACTGTTCCCTATGTAAGGGAGTTTCCTTTTGACCAAATGTCACTTCTTTCTTAAGATTTATTTATTTATTATGTATACAGCGTTCTGTCTGCATGTATGCCTACAGGCCAGAAGAGAGCACCAGATCTCATTACAGATGGTTGTGAGCCACAATGTGGTTGCTGGGGATTGAACTCAGGACTTCTGGAAGAGCAGCCAATACTCTTAACCGCTGAACCATCTTTCCAGGCCCAAATGGCACTTCTTTAGAGATGTCTCCTGTGACACAAAATCCCTCCATCAGTTACCATCTCCCCTCTGTTGTGGTTTTGCTATCTTTGGAACTGATGTTCCACCTGAAATTATCTTTTCACTATCTGTCTTCCCAGGATAGGTCAGCTCCATGAGAGCAGAGACACTTCTCGTGTTGTTCACGCTGAGTTTGCGAGTCTTAACATCTAGCCTCCCACACAAATAGGTCTGTCCATTGCTGCACGGTAATTCTTAACATAGAGAACCCACAGGCTCCCTAATGGCAACAAAGGTCCTTTTACAGGCAGAGCACAGAAATAAACCTCATGGTGGAGATACTAAGAATTTCTGTGACATACAGCACGCGTACTTTGAATCTTAATAAATATTGAGGTTGAAGTGACTTTAATGAGGAGTATGAGAGTATATCTAGTTCCATACAATGATGCTATCATATTTCACACAAATTTTGACAATCCTGAATGTGAAGGAATACTGTATGTCACTGAAACCATAATTTATATTCTGTGCTGGCTAATCTTATGTCAACTTGACAAACAAACTAGAGTTATCTGAAAGGAGGGAACCTCAATTGAGAAAATGCCTCCATAAGATCTGACCGTAAGGTATTTGTTTTGTTTTGTTCTGGGTTTGTTTGTTTGCCTTTTGAGTTTTTGTTAGTTTGTTCGTTTTAGACAGGGTTTCTCTGTGTAGCCCTGGCTGTCCTAGAACTCACTCTGTAAACTAGACTGGCCTCGAACTCACAGAGATTCACCTGCCTCTGCCTCCCGAGTGCTTCGACTAAGGCGTGTGCCACCACTGCCTGGCTAAGTATTTTCTTAATTAATGATTGATAGGGGAGGTCCCAGACCATTGTGGATGGTTCCATCCCTAGGCTGGTGGTCCTGGGTTCTGTAGGAAAGCAGTGGAGCAAGCCATGGGGAACAAGCCAGTAAGCAGGACCCCTCCATGGCTTCTGCATCAGCTCCCGCCTCCAGGTTCCTGCCCTGTTTCAGTTCCTGCCCTGACTTCCTTTGATGATGAACAGTGCTGTGGAAGTGTAAGCCAAATAAGCCCTTTCCCCCAACTTGCTTTTGGTTATGGTTTTTGTTGCAGTAGAAATCCTAAATAAGACATAGTCTCTTGATGTGTTGTTGTTGGTGGTGGTGGTTTAATTTTTGTTTTATTTTTTGATACATGATCTCACTGTATAGCCCAGGATGTTGTCCAATTCATGACCCTTCTGCCTCAATCCCAGCCTCCCAAGTGCTGGAATTATAGGAGTAAGCCACCACACCTGGCTGCATTTTCATAATTATTATGAAAGGTAACAACTGTTGCTCTTTATCTCATATATGTTAAATGATTAGTCTATAAATCAGCTTCTTACACTAGCAGTTGTGAGAGGGTGGAGATAGCATCTCACCCAGAATAGAGTGTTTCAGGCTGTAAATACCACTGTCTGTTTAATTAATGAAGACTGCAACACCTCAAAAAATGCATCTCCTGAAAGAAAAAGGCCAGTGAGAAGGTGCCTGTCTCCTGGAGGGGGCTTTGAACAAGGGGCTCCAGACAAACTGACCGTCATCTACGGGGTAGTCCAGGAAATCCTCCCCCTCCTCCTCTTTAGGCCGATCGCCACCTTCTGGTTCCTCGGGCTCCTCATCCGTCTTCTCATTATCTGACCGGTAGATGATGATGGATTCTGGGCGAGACTCTTTCCTCCTCTTCTTCCTACGGCCCATTGTGGACTCCCCATCCAGGGCCAGGGCAGCAGCCACTGCCCTCCTCAGTGAGCCGTGGTGGGGGCTTGGTAGCTGGCCCTGGCTTTCTGCTGGTGCTGACTCTTCCATCCCAGTCCTGAGAACTAGCGGAGTTCACGTTAGAAGAGTTTGGCTTGCTTGAGCAAACTCAAGCTCCAAGCACCGCACAGCTTCTACTTGGAAAGGACTATGTAAACATGCCCCCCAAAGGTGCATTTGACCTGAAAGACGGAAAAACAATGCATCAGCTCCAATCAAAGAGGGCAGGCTAGAGAGAAACTGGAAAATCAGCAGAGGAGGGAGGGGTCCATGGAAATCCTCCTTCAGTAACAGACATATGGTATTATGAAAAACTCATCAGCCCTGTTAAAGGGTACAGAGTATAAGAAAGTTAGTGAGGGAGCTGGGCATTGTTGGAGCATGCCTTTAATCCCAGCACTTGGGAGGCAGAGGCAGGTGGATCTCTGTGAGTTCGAAGCCAGCCTGGTCTCCAGAGTGAGTTCCAGGACAGGCTCAAAGCAATACAGAGAAACCTTGCCTCCAAAAAACAAAACAAAAACAAACAAACAAACAAAAAACAAAAAACCTAAAAGAAAAAAAAGTTAGCGAGGTTAAGAGCACTGGCTGTTCTTCCAGAGGACCCAGGTTCAATCCCCAGCACCCACATGACAGCTCACAATGTAACTCCAGTTCCAGGGGATCCGACACCCCCATACAGATATAATGCAGGCATAAACACCAATGTACATGAAATAATTTTTAAAGGGGAGGGAGATGACTCAGTGGTTAAGAAAGTGAGGAAGGTAGGAACTAAAACCCATCTTATTCTCATCATAGATGGAGACTGACATGGATGGGACCGGTACTACTTTGTACTTCTGACTGCCAAGAATACATTCCAATAATACCGAAATGGAAGAAGAGTAGTGAAACCTCACTAACCAACTCCACCTTGCTATGCAGGAACCCTGCCTCTTGTACAATAGGCTCTCAGAAAGTTGCAGGAATCTGAAGAGTTGCTTTCAACACTCCGTCTTCTCCTTTTCTGCAGGCAAACCAGAAAATAGGGGGGAAAATAAGCATCTTAGAGTAAACATGGGCACGCTACTTATATTTGCCAGCTAACCTTGGGATAATATTGACTTTCTAGGCCAGTGGTTCCCAACTTTCCTAATGCTGTGACCATTTAATACAGTTCTTCATGCTGTGATGACCCTCAACCATAAAATCATTTTTATTACTTTATAACTATAATTTTGCTACTGTTATGAATTGTAATGGAGATATCTGATCTACTACCCTGTTTGACCCCCAAAGGGGTCACTATACACATGTTGAGAACTTCTGTTCTAGGAGAAGATTAGAGGCTTTATCTGGAGCTTGAAATGTTAAGCCAAGGCATGCCAAGAAAATCAAGACAGGGTAACTCTGGCTTTTAAACTCAGCAGTGCTCTCAGGAAGCTGCAATCCATTTCCGATCTTGAGACATTCCAAGGGATACTATCATTGTTGCTGCCACAGAGTGAACATTAGCAACATCCAGCCTGATACACTTAAGCATCCAGCTGCTAATAGGTCTTCCAAAGAGAAAAAGAAGACTTATTATAGTAAGTGCTGAACACTTATAATGGGGGATCCTTTTATTATGGAAGATGGCAAACTTACATAGGAGTAAGAAGCACTTTGATGTGTCTTCCTGGCACCCAATACCCAGTTTCAACAATAATAAAGCTATTCCAGGTCAATCTTGTTTCTTCATAGTATTCAACAACGAATCTTAAACACCTCATTTCATTTCTACCTCAATATGTAAAATGAAATAAATTAGCTCCCAATAGGGCAATAAGATGGCTCAGATGGCTCAGGGGATAAAGGTACCATCGTGCCTGAAAATCTGAGATGGATCCCTGGAATACACTACAGTGGAAGGAGAGAACCAATACCCCTAAAACTGTGCTCTGCTATATACAACTCCCACAACACACACACACACACACACACACACACACACAATTTTAAAACCTCATAGTATCAATACTCCATGTAATTTTAAAAGTCTTTTTTTTTTTTTTTTTTTTTTGGTTTTACGAGACAGGGTTTCTCTGTAGGGTTTTGGAGACTGTCCTGGAACTCTCTTTGAAGACCAGACTGACTTCGAACTCACAGAGATCTGACTGCCTCTGCCTCCCAAGTGCTGGGATTAAAGGCATGCACCACCAACACCCGGCTTGAACAGATTTCTACTTAATGTTAATTAATGATATTTACAAATGATTTTGCCGGGCAGTGGTGGCCCATGCCAGCACTTGGGAGGCAGAGACAGGTGGATCTCTGTGAGTTCGAGGCCAGCCTCATCTACAGAGCAAGTGCCAGGACAGCCTCCAAAGCTACATACACAGAGAAACCCTGTCTTGAAAAACCAAAAAACAAACAAACAAACAAACAAAAAGAACAGAAAAGAAATCTGTTGAAACCTCCCTATTCTTACAAATGGGCCCCACATCTTTTTTTTTAATCTACAGCAGTGCCACCCAGTGGAACTTTCAGCCATTGCATCTGAAAAGAAGCTGGGCAAATAAGGGAGAGCGTTTGATTTTTTTTTTTAAGAAGCTCTGTTTGTTTGTTTGTTTTGTTTTTCAAGATTTGGTTTCTCTGTATAGCCCTGGCTGCTGGGATTACAGGCGTGTGACTCATTCTTAGAGATTTTAAGTAAGTTTGCCTACTTTTGGGCTTATGGAGATTTGTTTTCTTAGAGAGAGACAGAAAGACAGAGAGACAGAGAGAGAGAGAGACAGAGAGACAGAGAGACAGAGAGACAGAGAGACAGAGAGACAGAGAGAGAGACAGAGAGACAGAGAGAGAGAGACAGAGACAGAGAGAGAGACAGAGACAGAGAGAGAGACAGAGACAGAGACAGAGAGAGAGAGAGAGAGAGAGAGAGAGAGAGAGAGAGGGAGAGAGAGAAAGAGAGAGAGAGAGAATATATAGGTGCCCTTTAGACCTTTAGATGGTATCAGTTACACCATGACAGGTCTTCTGGGTCAGTTTTACTGAAGGATTTGGATCATGGAAAACATTTCTGTAGTAAACACAGACACTTAGGGAGCAGGATTTTATGCCCATATACATTTTTAACTAGGAAACTTGGAATCCTTAACCTCAGGGAGAACCATGTCTTCCCAGCCTCTCCATGCAGTCCATCAGTGTTGGGACATTTTGGTGCCCTGACTTAGTTTGCTGATTCCTAAGAACCATCCAGCGTTGTCATGTTGGACTCTTTGTTCGCTCTGGGAAGTCCATCTGCTCTGACTCTTCCAGGACAGAAACACAGGCTTCTAAACGCCTTAGCCCAGTGAATTCACAGCCCAACAACCTGGGAGATCAGCGAGATTTAAGCCTGAATTTCTCAAAGTTCTTACCTTCCTTTGTGTCTCTTCATTCAAAATTGAGGTTCCCCCACTGAGGGTTCCTTAATTTTTTTTGCAGAAGAAGCAGTATTAATGCAAGTTTTTTATTTAAAATAATTTTATACCATATATCCTGATTGAATTCTTTTCTGTTGGTGTCTTGGTTTGGTGATATTTTTTTAAGAGTGCAAGTTTATTTATTATACAAGTGCAAGTAACACACTAAGAACACAGTGCCCTCTGTGATGAGAAACTGTGGGCTCACGCTGTTTAGTGAGACTTTTAAGACATGATCAGGTGATAAAGGAGTTACAATATCTTCCTCTGGGCCTCACCTTTAAGAATGTTATCCACAAGCACCTGTTTTTTTTTCAGGCAGTTGATTAAGGGTTTAAGATACAAGACTCAACAATCTGCTTATCTGTTGGGGACCACAAAAGAAAATCAACTGGAGGATAGCACAAAGGACAATTACCTACTACTTGGAAGGTCAAGATTGTCATTCCATGGAAAATGAATGCACCCAGAGTTTAGAAAACCAGAAATGAAAACAATAACCGGCTATGTGTGTTAGTATTTGAAGAAATATGACAGAGGCCTCCCTGTCACACAGTAATATCAAAGATGCATCATTTTAGACATGGGTTTTGCTTCAGACTGAATGCCATTCTAAGATGTATTTCTGTTTGCTCATCTACAACCACACTCCACCTCAGCTGTGCCCACTGGTATTAATGATATCCGATGCTATATGGAAAACAATATATTTATTTACCAGAGAGAGAGAGAGTCGCACAAACCAGGAGTTAGAAGCGTGGCTGGCTTCCAGGAGAAAAGGGAGGTTCCTTTTCCTTTCACTTCCTTTTATATCTACCTGTGTCAGTTTACATGTCCCCGCCCTCATGGGCGGTTAGCTTTGTGGGGTTCACTCCTACACACTGGGCCAGTCCACCAGACACTGAGGCCATTCAAAACAAATAGACGGGGGAGAGACGAAACTATTGAAGATAAATGTGCATTCGGCATTAGAACCAAGGAAATAGACAGAACAAGAAGGAAGTGAGGGATTAGAGAATTAGGAACAAAACTAGCAATAAAAAGCTGGAAACCCAGAGCTGCTGGGAGCCCTGGGAAGACAGGGTTGTGCATGGACTCCAGCAATCCTCAATAATAAACAAATCATTTGAAAATGGGAAATTTTGGGGGTAAATAGTTTAGAAACTTCCATTTTTCAGTAGAGGCTACCTCTGTAGTTCATAAACTATTTTTCATAGTATGCTTATTAATAATATATAATAAGAGGGCCATTTGCCTTCTCTACCAAATTTAGAATTGGTTATGTTAAAAGTAGGGTCCTGGGAGTGAATCTATGAGGAGTTGGGGGCAGAGTGGAGCTTAAATATATTCAAAACACATTATGTACATTAATATTTTTTTTGGTTTTTCAAGACAGGGTTTCTCTGTATTGTTTTGGAGGCTGTCCTGGAACTCACTCTGTAGACCAGGCTGACCTCAAACTCACAGATATCCGCCTGCCTCTGCCTCCTGAGTGCTGGGATTAGAGGCGTGTGCCACCAACACCCAGCTCCTTATACATTAATTTTTTAAAGACAAGAAGGGGCTGGAGGGACGGCCTCTTCCAGAGGACCCAGGTTCAATTCCCAGCACCCATTAAAATAAGTAAATAAATACTATAAGAAATATATTAAAAATCAAACATTTTGTGGTGATGTATGACTTTAATACCAGCACTCAGGAGGTGGAGACAGGTGGATGGATCACTGTGAGTTCCAGGCCAGCCTGATCAACAAAGTAAGTTCCAGCAAAGTCAAAGATACAGGGAAACCCTGTCTTGAAAAACAAAAAACAAAATGAAAACCAAACATCAGTAATTCCACCAAACATGGATACCAGACAAAACAAGGCAATGCATAACACAAACCCAGCATGAACACATCAAAGACACAGAAATAGCCCAGTGTCCTCATCCTGGCCCACAGAAGCGGCCTAGTGTTTTCCCCAGCTACAGCCTCTGACGTACTATGGGAGGCTTTCTCATAGACATTAGAACAAGCCTCAGACTCACACACACTGTCTGACAGCCAGTCACAGCAAGACCTCTCCAGAGTTGACAAGTTAAAAAAAATCCTGATGCCTGTTGCCGAGATACTTTTCACTGGTCTTGGGTGTGTCCCACTTCTGCAGAGGGACAGACAGACAGAGCTTAATCAACTACAGGTGAACTCCTGCTGTTGCCAGATCTTAGGTCAGTCTGCTTACTGCTGTACTAGAAACCCCAGGGAGACAGAAATTAGTGGACATTAGTCTATTCAAAGCCAACCCTTAGGAAAATAGAGGCCACTCTGTTTCACATTCTTCCTTCACTTGGTTCAAGACTTTTGTAGGGTATGAAGGGGTTACAGTGAGACCATGACTGGGAAACCCCCACACTAGATGGAGTCTTTCTCCAGGGCCTTGTGTCCGCCATTCTTTAAGAGTCTAGTTGAAACCAGCTGGGCATAGTGGTGTATACCTTTAATTCTAGCACTTGGAAAGCATAGTCAAGCAGATCTCTGTGAGTTCAAGGCCAACCTGGTCTATATAGTGAGGTCCAGGGCTGCCAGAACTACATAGTGAG